AGCGAGGCAGCGGGCTGGCTCTGCACTTGTAGCTAGAAGACCTCAGCTGAGATGGTGCTGTCATCCCCTTGAGCAAACTACTTCACCAGGCTGTTCTAGTAACTGCCTCACGTACTAGTGGGAGTCCTGGTCACCTGCACAAACCAGTGCCGGATTTTCCATTAGGCACTATAGGCACAGTGCCTAGGGCCTATAAAGGAGGGAAACATTAGTGACTAATGAAAAAGGAGCTGAAACAACATGCATGCTTGAGATCGACTCTAGGTGCTCCAAATGAATAATCATATGCTACCTATCGGCTGTTCTAGAAACTAGAAGTATCGAAGTGATGGTCACTCAACTCGCTCCATCGGTCATGTGTTTTAGCATGAGATTAGTGTAGCGCCCGCACCGGTCACTTTAGCGGCTGCACCTCCCCCAAGCTACGCGCCCGCAAGGCAGGCTGGGGGCAGCGGCCGAGGGGCTGGACGTGAGGTCAGCCTGTCCACTGGAGATTGATCTGGCAGTGTAAATAGCATATAGAGGTTATGAGGAGCCATTGTAAATAGTTGTCAGTGTTTGCTGCTTTGTCCTTAAACCCACCATAAACCAAAGTACCCCTATTTAACTCCTTAACCCTGTGTGTTTAACCACTTCAGGGAGTTTCAATCTCTGTCTGTCAAAGTCCAATGGGTGGAGGTAAATAACCATTTTGTTCCCGGCGCATCAGGGGTGTGTGAGCTTCATTCTGTGTTAATCCCCCGGTCATTACAATAGTTTAAAGTACATCATGTCAATCGACGTAATTCAATTGGCATATACCCCTCTTTTTGTGAAAGTGTGAAAGTGCCTAGGGCCGATGAACACCAGAATCCGGCCCTGGCCCAAACATGAATCTGTTCTCTGTTGCCTTACCTGGTTAAATGAAGCATTAAATCAACTCATTGTGGTGTTCTCAACGCTTCTGTTGTTGGTGTTTTCAGAGCTCTCCGGACACCTTTTGTCCTAAAGACCGAACCAAAGACATTGATGCCATTTACAAAGTGATTTCGGATGCCAGGAGGTTTATCTACATATCCATTACCGAGTACCTGCCTCTTGTGAACAGGAGCCCACACAGGTCTGTCCCACTCACAAGCAATGAAACAAGTAGGCAGACGTGTAAAAAAGTGCTGGCATGAAAAGAGCTTTCTTGCATTTTCCTGTTTTTTTTTTTAAGTAACAAAAGTAGTTCTTCGTAACCTGTAGGAATTAAGTGATATTTCACACAGGAACCAGATAAAGAAAAAATAAGTAATTGTTTTGTGTGTGTTTGCTTTAAACTGAAAGAAAACAATTTAATGTACTGTAATACTGAAATGATTAGTTTTCTTTATGCTGTTTGGCAAATTGAATCACACAATTACATCAGATGTGTACAGAAAAAGGCTAACAGTCAAAAGATTATTTTTGTTAAAACAGAATTTAGCCATTTTGATCAATCACATTTAATCCAATTAAAACTGATTTACTAGCTGTGGTCTTGTGTAACATATAATACATTCATACAAAATATATTCCTAATCAAATTAGTAAATAAAACTTCATTTACTGCAGTATTCCTCGTACTGCATGACACACATCTACTCACCTTTAACCTCTGTGAACTGGTGTTTCCAGATACTGGTCTCGTATTGATGGGATGCTCAGAGAAGCTCTAATCCTGAGGGACATCAAAGTCCGTCTCTTAATCAGCTGCTGGACTCAGACCAACCCTTTGACATTTAACTTTGTGTGGTCACTCAAGACCCTCTGCACAGAACGGCCCAACTGCACTTTGGAAGTGGTGAGTGAAAACGGACTGGACAGCTGCCCCCCCGCCCACGGTTCCCAGCATTCCCACCTGATTAACCAGAGGGTTCATCAACCCTGCTATGACATCATCATTCGTAACACAGCGTGTTAGTCAAGAGCTGTGTGAAAGCTGTGTGGAAAATAGATTTTTGGCTCTGGACAGTCTCCTGGAAGGTTGTGGGATCGAATGAGGTTCCAGTAAAATCATCAGCCACATGTAATGTACATGTATATGCCCCTGCGTATAACAGGGATCTCAGGGAGAGGTCTCCTTCAGCTCAGCCGGCAAGTTCCCTACTGCATGACACTGGAGACCCGGGTCAGGTCGGAGCGGCAAGGGCAGAACCCCCAAGACCGTTAAACATACAAATAGATATTAATGTAAACTTCGGATAAGAGCGTCAGCTAAATAACACGAGAATAAAGAGATGTGTCTTGAAGCTACAGGCTGAGAGTGGTACATGAGCAGAAATGCCTGCGGGGCAATCTTACTCTAACTCTGTGTTGTCATCTTTTAATGTTTATATATACCATCCAGAAGTTCTTCAGCCCCAAAGAACAGAGGAATGGCACTGCGTACACAATTAACCGCAACAAGTTCATGGTGACTGACAACGCCCTGTATATCGGTGAGTATCGCACTCCCCATCCTCACACCTGGTGCGGCTGTCACGAAAGCCGGTCTTGACTCCCGTGGAGTGCGTTATTAAAGACCCTATGCGGACGGTATAATCCGTAAAAGACAACAGAGGAAGGTACAACGGGGGTAGGATGGGTGGACAAGACAGGGGGCGGTATGAGGTAGCAACCAAGTCCAAGGAAATCCAAAAGGGAAGTCGGGGCGCAGTCCGTAATCCAAGAGCCGGGAGATCCATCCAAGACAAACGGTTAAAAGGGGGAACCGGGTCGGAACCGGCACAGGAACAGGAACTAAAACTAAAAACATAATGGGACCAGGTACTCTGCATCACGGGACCAGGCGGTCAGGACGCCGGGGAAAAGGCCTGGCTTCGGAGACCCCGGAAAATAGGCGTGCCTTGTGGCGTCCATCTTCCAATACTGACCCCAGAACTGCAGAGACGACAGGCTTTTAACTAAAAACCAAACGAGACGCACCAGGAAATAATAGAAATTAATCATAACCGAAAGTGGTAGGAGCGCCCTCTAGAGGAGGGATGTGGAACGTAACAGCGGCACTTGTGAAGACAGAGACCCCATCTCTCGTTACCTCGAGGTCAAGATAAATGCAGTTTCTATGTTTTATTTAAAATGATACGGGTCCCATTTACATTATGGAGCCACATGGTATTTTGGATTTGACTCTACCTGAGCTTGCAATAAGGTAAGGAGCCTAACACATTGACTTGATGTTAATTGGGTCACATTTACATTAAGGAGTCATTTTTTCACATAATAACAGTGATCTGTATTATAATATGAACAGTGCGAAAACCATGAATCACTGAAAAAATACTTTTCTTGGCAGGTGAGTCACAGACGCCTTGTGTTCATATTAACACTACAATTTAAAGTGTTTTTCAATGCTTCAGATAATCGAGAATGATAATCTGGACATGATAAACTGGGCACCTACAGTATGTTGCTGTGTGATGCTTATTTTTCACGACTATACTGCAGTTATGAATAACCACTCGTTTGTGCAGACAGGTTTTTTTAGAAGAGCTGACTCATTTGGAAAAACAGTATTAAAGGTGAATTTAATATGATCTGTCTGGCATTTGTTTCAGGGAACTTTGACTGGGTGGGGAACGAGTTTGCCTACAATGCTGGAGCCGGGCTAGTGATCCGACAGGAAAACAGGACCAACCACACCATCCTGGACCAGCTCAAAACCGTGTTTGAGAGGGACTGGTATTCTCGGCACAGCAAGAGCCTACAAGCCAACAAGATTCCCGAGTGCATTAAACACAGGATGAACCAGCCGGCCTCGCCGAAGGGCTCGCAGTACAGTGTGTAGGCGGACTCCACTCCGCCGCTTCCTGAGCTCGGACCGGATTTCTCACAGCTGGGAACCAAACCGGCACCCGAGCCGTCAGACTCTCAGCGAGACCTGCTTAGTAAGAAGCAACTTTGATTAATTTTCTAATTCAAAGCGGTGCCTGAATTCTTTTTTTTTTAAAACAGAAACAGTGCGAGTGCAACATCAGCACAACAAGATGAAAAGCAAAGTTCTTTGCTACGTGCATATACATACAGTGCTGGATATTTTGATTAGAAGGAGAGGGATAGTCTTTTTAAACTTGGATGTCCCTACAGCATTCTTAAACAAAGCATTCGCATTCCAGATCATTAAAATGGGACTTACTTAAGTCCCACATATTCCAGCAAGGTAGGTCTTGAAATTGCGTTAATTGTGAAAAAAAAAACATTGTGGAATTAATGCGCTAACAAGAAGCAGGCAGCATTCACCTGTCACTCACTCGACACTGGCTAAGTTTAAGACATTGTGCTTATTACCATTTGCATTAACCTAAGTCGGCATTGAAAAGCAGACTTCTGATCAAATAAGGCTCTTATTTTTACAAGAAATCTTACACAATCACAGGGTGTTAAAAGGAGGAAAATAATTTACTGCACTGCATTCCTGGCCTCAAAGATGCATTTCGCCTTCGATTCGTCTGCCCCCTGGCGGCAGGATGAGGTATAGAGAGGGTTGAGCGGAGACGGACGGGGTCGATCGCGCCTTCCTCACTCTGCAGCTACGACAGCAATTTCCTCTTCTTCTCTCGGACAAAAGGCGCCAGAGGAATCATCGCCGTGTCCCTCTGGACACATGTCCTCTCCCTCGGCCACTTCAAAAGAGATCACAGATCACAGATCAGTCAAGCCGTGCGTCACTTTCAAACAAACACAAGTCACCACAGTATTTTTGTTCTTTTACTATTAATTATCAACAAAGGCCCAGGTTAAATTAAATATTTCTCCCTCTTGTCTAACACATACTCAGCTCAGCTGTGTGAAACAGACACATTGGGCTGAAACTGAGCTGCCAGGAGACTCCAGGTCTGTCACTAGTCCTCTGAGATGGGTCTGAGCTGAGATTTATTCTTGGCCGCCCGATAAAAACGATCAAACAGTTGTGCGTGCATTTAATTTAATTGTATTTTTATAAAGATAGATATACACAAAACATAAACATTAACTCAGCTTTTAAATTCCATTTTGAACATCTTGAAAATAAGTACATTTTCATTCTTTTTAAGAAAAGCATGTCTCTTTCTAACATAGTCAGTCTTTTTGTACCTACTTCAACAGAAATGAGGAAACTGCTTTTTTAAACCAAATATTCTTAATATCAGCGTGCGCTGCGTTGTATCAGTTTTTTACACAAGGATCAAACATTACTCATGTTTTTATATTTCTTTATATGAAACTAGAAGTACTTTGTTTGCCAGCTGAGAAGACTGTTTGCTGTAAAAAGTGGGTTTGCATGTCATGCGCTGTATACAAATAGTTATAGGCAGGGAGTACTGATGCTGAAATTTGCAAATCTCCTTTAAATTTGCTTGACCTCCTTGGCAGTTGAAGGGCAGCAGAACTTGACTTCCTTGTGAAAATGGCTCTTGCTTTGCTCATGGGATCAAACGAATTTGTCTCTGTACACCAGGGGTCCTGGAAAGCCCCAGTCCAGTCCAGTTACTTTTTATAAGTCACCCTAAATCACCTGTTATTTGAAGATCAGGAACAGCTATTTCAGCATTTGATCAATTCAGCAAATAATGTATCATTAAAGGGATCAATAGTCTTTTAGAGCTGAATGATATTCTGATTTTTGTTCCAAATGATCTCTACTTAACTGATAACACCACCTGTTCAATTGATCATATTTCAATTGTTCTCGGCCTTGAAGGACCGAAGAATTAGACCCTACCCATCGAACCTGCAGGACTGGATCTCTCCAGGACCAGGTCTGGAGACCTCCTGCTGAGCACAGTGAGGCTCAAGAGCAGAACCGAGGGGAACTAATTGCAAGGCAGCCTTTGTAAAGAGAAGTTTGTTTTTGGGGGGCGATATTTCGTCTTAACATTAGTACATAATTGCAATGTTAATAGAAAAACCACTGTGTACCATCGTTCACTGCATGAGCCATTCAAGGGGTTAGGATGTCCATCTCCAGCACAGATAGGCTGATGCTTACAGCTTCAGAAAAATGGAGCCAGAAGACACGTCTATTCGGTGAAGGAGGACAGTTCTGTTCAAGGAGCCTGGTTTATGCGGAGTTCGCCTGTCTAAAAGTCTCACACTGCCATCTAGTGTTAGGAATCTAGATCTCTTCACCATCACAATGCTGGTAGCACATTCCTGATGGAAACAGAGCTCAAGTACTGAGGACAAGGACTGTAGCAAACGTATCTTCTTCATATTGAATGTATGATATGTTTTTCTGGCACACCAGTCAGCATGCTTTTTCCTCTCTGTTACAACACGCAGACAATGTTCTGTAAGAAGTTTAACAATTTTCTTTGGCCTTTTATACACTGCTTTTTTTCCAATCTCACAGGCTAGATCTAATGCTACTGTTGTCAAATCACCTCATCTAATCACGTTTTCCTACCCAAACAGCCAACATTTTCTCTAATCCTGGTGACATCTCTGGGCTGAACATACGGACAATGGACAGAATAAAATCCAGAAACGTCTGGTTTAAAATGCTTGACCCTTTAAGAACACACTGCACAATTTTTTTTTTACATTGCACTGGTGAAAGTTTTCCAATTGCAGCTTATTCAAAGATTCATGTAGACAGGGCTATGTGACTTCTGGGCAAACTTTTAAAGTTTTTTTTTTATTTCAGCAATAAATCTTTTCACACAGGGACATAAAAAACCTTAAGTATGTTTGTTTTTCCTCCATTAAAGGAAAAACACATTCAGCAGTCTCCAGTAATTCCAATATAAGTTGTAGAGCACAAAGGAAAGTTACAAATTTAATTTAATTCCAGATTTGTTTTACGTTAAAAGAATGATCCTTTGCTAACAACACATATTTCCCTTAAGGAAAGATTTCCCTGCTGCTACTCTCCATGTGAATTGTATTTGCACTAGGTCCATGGTTTTCAAATACAAACCATCTGAAGATATGATGTCATTCTGTACAATAGAAAATCACTGTCCCATATTTACTAATAGTTTCACAGGGAGAACAGCACCTTTTACTCAAACTCACTAACTAGCCCCTTAATTAAAATGCCCCATATTTAACCCACTGCTGTCCCATACTTCTAACACAGGTTAGGGTTTAGCATTACCAGCTAAAACAAAACTACAGCATTTTAACATAACTTTCATTGGTTTGATTTCATCTGAAATGTAAACTCCAGTTTCCAGCCTGATACCAGGCTCTTGTTTGATAGAAAACATCATGTGCTGACTCTTAACAATGATCTCACATTTCAGTTTTATATCTGGACATGTCTTGGAACAGACCTTGTCGTTTGAAAGTTATGGACATGAAGATTTTTAACTGCCTGCAGTCCTTTTTTAGATTTTACAGAATCCTTCAATTCTTTACTCAGCTTCCCCGAGCTCCTTCAAATCTGAACTGAAAACTTTCTTGTTTAGAAGGGCTTTTACTTAACACACCCCCATCTACTATCTCCTCTCAATGTGTTTTTTTTATGTTGTTCTGTAAAGTGCTTTGAAAAGCCACTTTTAAAGGCACTATATAAAAATAAAGTTTACTGGTATTATTCAGTAGACTGTGCACAGAAATAGTGATATTGTACATATTAGCTCAACTGTTGGAATAACTGATGATTTCCTAAACTCTGAAATGATTACAGATCCCAGCCATATTGAAATCAGCAGCACTGGCATGAAGATAAACCACAATCTGACAGAATCCACACGCAGAGTCTAGGCCTGAGGACCTGTGACATCTGTACAGGATATTTCTGGAGATGCTCTTTTTAAAATGGCTTACGGCTCTGTAAATAATATGCGTTGCTCATGCTAAATCCAGAGTAAATCATTTTTTTTCTTCCAAAATTGGCATGCTACCCGTTTGCATGGCCTGCCTTTTATGAACATTATATCTTTGAAAGTTTTGCAATATTTTAAAATGCAGAGGAATGTATATTTATTGTATAACCATGCAAATGTATATGAATGCTACATCCTATATACACTTATAAGTTAAATTAATAGCTTTAATTAATTTGTACCTGTCAATAAAATTGTTTCAAGAAATTTGTCCGGCTCCTTTGTGAGAGGCTGCCGTGTGGTGGAGAAAACAGAGTGCGATCCCTGGGCACAGTGGAGGAAAAGCTTGGCATCAATGTGACACGACCACAGCAAATGGGCAGGTGAAGTGGGACATGTAAATACTGTATATCACATATCCAGCACTGCAATATTACCACTTAATCACATTGTGGAAGGTGTTGCTGGGGTCTGTTAATTTAGCCTTCAACAAAGTTAAGATGCAATAAAGCTGACTTGCTTTAGCAGCCCCAGTGACTTAACGCTACATAACAAAAGATAGGACCAACACCCACAAACATACTATAAACAGGATAAAGCAGAAATGCCTGCTGCGTGTCAAAGGACAGAACCCAGAGAAGAGCAGGACAAGAAGTAATTACATATCAAAGAACAGGACAAGCACTCAGATTGTGAAATAAACTGCTTTCTGACTGTATATAAGAGCTGGGAAACCCTTGCAGTTTGTCTGATCTGCTAGGCAGACCCAGCACATGTTGCTGTCAGCATTGAGCTCAATAAAACTGAATCTGCACAAGACTGTCTCCTGCTCCTCTGACGAAGAATTTCCCACAACAGCAGGTTGATGTAGTCCTCACACGGGAGATCCTCAGCGTAGTGCAGGAAATGTCCATCGTATGTGACATCCAATAAAAAATCTCAATTTCTACTTCAATAATTCTGATGATTATTTTCTCAGTGTCCTGTTTCAGAAAGTCAGGGTCATTTGTGTTTTACAGAACTGAAAGATACTTCTCTAGCAAGCCAAACATCCAAGCTCTGAACACAAGAATTGTTTTCTGAAAGGGGATCTTGACACAAACATTGATCAGATATCAATAATATACAAGGGTACAAACACAACTCCAAGAAGCCAGCTGTCATTGGTGCACACACATTTTTTAGAGATTTTGTTAAAAATCCTGTTAAATGTTTGAAAAAACATTTAAAAAACCAAGAGGAACATATTGTAGCTTTTAAAGACCACAAATATTAGCGCCTGGAATACAGCGGCCAGGACCAGAGTGATTTACAGGCAGCACGTATACATCGACACCGTGTTCTACAGCCTTCAGAATAATAAGGCATGATTTCATATAATTATTAACGCTTTCACATCCTTAAGAAATGGGGACACCACAGTTGCTACTGTTTGGACACGTCTTTTGTCCTTGTCTGTGTGTTTGGGATTTTACAGATTTCAGGTTATGATTGCTGTGGTTTGGCAAGTCTTATTATTATGCCCGTGAACATTTTTTAGTCCGTTTTTAATATTCCCACCACAACAAATTGATCTTAAAAACAATGTTTAGCAATTCCAAAAATCTCTGGTTTAAAAATCTCTGGCCTGGGGACAGAGGCCGGATTCAAGATCGGGGTCTGCTGCAAACGAACAGTTCCTGATGGTTTCAGTCCCCACCTGAAAAGATGAGATTAAACCTGAAACTTGTAAATCGCGAAAATGTTCTACTTTTTAAAAAATAACACGAAAAGGAGGTCGGTGTGCCACTGATTTTCGATTGTAGATTAAAATGCTTATTTTAACAGCACAGAGCATTCCAGGCCGCGGGGATTAGCGTGCACAGCGCAGGGCTGCGCGCTTCACAGCGGCTCATCCGCGAGCGGAGCACGGCGGTCTGACGCACGGCGTTGCCATGGAAGCCGATTAGCGTCATCCGGGTCGCGGGGGGAGTGCGCCTGCGCAGCTCCTGGTCGCGGCGCTGGTTTGCTGCGGGCGGCGCGAGCTGGTGGTGGGAGTTGCTGCCGAGTAACAACAACAAATGCCCGAGTGTCTGCGGCTGAGCAAGCGCCCTCCTGGACAGAAGCAGGACGAGACTGAGCCTCACAGGCCGCCCCGTGTCCCCGAACATGGCAGAGGACAGCGATTGGGTTGTGGAGAGCATTGCGGAATACCTGGGCAGCCCGGCGTGGGTCGTGCCACTCACGGATTTTATGGAGAATAAATGCACAGGTAGAGTCCCGTCTATTGACATCACTCGAGGGGGTGTTTGCATTAAGTGGGGTGCACTGCTGCGAGCCTGTAGCGCGGTGCTGGACCCGAGGTCAGGCTCGGCAGGGTCCTGGGGTGGGTGGTGATGCCGCAGGGGGTGTCTGCGCTGAATGCGGTTGTTCCTGTCTCTGCATTGGTGCAGAGTGCCGTGTTCACACACTGATCGCAGGAGAGAGGTGGGGGTGTTGGTTAAGACTGTTTTAGCGTTGGCGCTGTTGTTGTTTTCTGTTTGAAACTGTGGGTTTGAAGGTGGAGGTGTGAAATTCGGGAGCGGGGGGGCTGTGTGCTGTGTGGACTGACGTAATTTTGCGTCCACAGCAGCGACCCCTCCTCGTGCTACCCCTTGATGTGCACGGTTCGGTTCGGCCGTCCACGTGTCGGTCCGGTTGCCTGCTTAATTAATCAATTTTCGCAGTTTTTTGTACATCATCTTTGGAAGTGCCTTAACATGCAGTTTAATCTGTTAGTTTGGTAACTTCAAATTGTGATTTGTTGGGGGAAAATGGTGAACATATGTAACAAGACTACTGGGATAAATCAAATCAGCCTAAATGCCCTCTACAAGCACAGTCGAAGCCTATGGGCCTTATGAAGCGTGTGTCTCACCCCCTCCTCTGAATCTGTGCTACTCCTGTCTGGGAGACGGCTCTGTGTCCCCAGGAGTACTGCGGTGTCTCACTTCTGCAACTCTTAAATATTACAGAACAATTGTTATTAGAGATTATTTTACAGGACCTGTTCGTGAAATATTTTGTCCTGACCTCTTTGACGATGGTTGTGCTGTTTTATAATGATAGCGGTGTTAAGAAGAAGATGATGAGTAAGACTGTGGAACTCAGGGGGGAGTATGTGGGAGTGGGGCTGGTGGGGAATCGCGGTGTGTCGGTCAGAGACGTGCGTGACCTCCGCCTGCCACCCTGCTCTCACGTTCTGCGTGTTGTGGTTCGCTTACAGTCTTCGATGACGAAGATGAAAACAAACTGACCTACACGGAGATCCATCAGCAGTACAAGGAGCTGGTGAGTAAGAGTGGATGGGGCTCGTTGGACGATGAGAGCTGTTTTAACTAACATTAGAAAAAAGGTATTGAACCAAACAGAAAATGGTATAAAAGTATTGTGTGTATTTTTATAAGCAGCAAAACTCTGTAATCACTGCAAAGTGATTTCACTTTTTTTCCACCTTTCCCAGGATTTAGCATTTTACCATTTATATCCGAATCTTGCTCTAGGTGTAGTTCAGAGGGTACAAGAGGTTTAGCATTGTTTTGTTTTTTTTCTGGAAGCTGTAAGTGTTTATCGAAGGCATATGGCTAAATGACGAGAGCTCATAATCAGCATATAAGAAGTAAACAGTATGAGTTGTGAGTTTTACTTTCATTCGTGTTTTACTCTCTTTCAAGAAAGGGCTCTTTAGAATAAACAATATGTGAAAACATTTCTGAGGTGGTCCTGTTATTTATCACTTTTCATTTATGGAAACAGTGTAATTCCTTCAAGCATCCAAAAAAATGAAAGGTGTTCAGTTTAGTGCAGCTTCTTAAACCAGCCTTTTCCATGTAGTTTCCCATGTGTTTGTCTCCTTGCAGTAAGCTGATTGAGTTGCTTTAACTGAAGTTTTTACAAACGGTGTTGTCACTTCCTGGCTGAGTTTTTTGAATATGAGTGGAATGTTCCAGTTACCCTTCTACACACCTCATCTCTTTGACATCCTGAGAAAGATGGGATTTGTGTGCTAAAGTCCCAAGAGTGCCTGCAGGCTGTCATAGATGCACTTTGCCAAAACCACACTCCATATTTCACAATGTAAGACTAGTCTGGTGTGGGACTCCCGAGAGCTCAGCCTGGGAACTGAGCCCTGATTTGTATTTCCTTAGCATGGTTTTAATTTCACAGAACAGTAGAAAGTTTAGTTTGCACTAACCAAAGTGCTGTTGCCACTGTTCAAGCACAAGTGGAGCCTGAATTCACTTGACCTATTGGTAGGACAGGAACCCCAGACACTGTCCACAGTCTGCAGGCCTGGAAGAGTCTTACTCTGTTCACTTATTGCAGGTAGAAAAGCTGCTGGAAAACTACATGCAGGAGGTTGGGATCAACGAGGAGCAGCTGTTGGAAGCCTGCACCTCTCCACTCGCCAAGTCCAAAGCCCTGCAGGTTAGTGAGTAGGATTGTGTGGCTGGTCAAGCACCAGAACTCCTGGATGCTGTGATCGTGGAGATATCCTGTCAGCCCGAGTCCTGTCCTCACTGGCTGGTACCAGGTGACCTTGATGGCTGTGGCGCATCCTTATTTCTTGAAGGCTGCTGAGTGCCTTGTTCTGCTCTTACAGAATCATTTGCATCCAGACTAGTCAACACTCCAATTCCAGATAGGCGCTCTTGAGGAGATGAGCTGTTTAGCATCCAAATTCACTCTTTTGTTTTCTGTCTCCTAAAAGGAGAAATGCAAAATGTCCATTGTAAGGCTAGGGAGTTAGCTTTTGCTTAAGAGGAAGTTTTTGCACAGTAAATGAGCGTTAAAATAAAAACATTGTGTAATTGCTGGTTTTTGTTCATTTTACCCATCATCATGAAGTAACTGGTGTGTTGTTGCCTGCTTCTTGACAATTATATAAAACCCTGAACTCAAGGGCAGCGTTGAGGAGCCCGTGTTGATGACACAGCTGACATGAGAGAGTGTTAAGTGAGACTTTCGTAGACAGATGGGTTTGACCACAGCTGGGATCCATTCTAATTTGTGAATATAAAAAAGAATTGGCCAAAGGAGAAACGGGAACTTTGTGAAGCCTGAGTTTGAATGCAGAGTAGTGAAGGGACTTCAGAAGGTCTCTTCTTCAAACCCGAAAATCAGGCTTCAGCTCCTATTGACAAAAGTAAATGGCTCACCTGTGTTGACTGAAGTCGTTGCTTTTCTGTTGTAACATCAGCTTTCTCTCACCTGCTATTTCTCAAGGAATTAATTACATGTCCTCCTTATATAGCATTACAAAGCCTCTTTGTGTGATATCCCTCTACCTGCTACTACAAACTGTGGGCGAACTTTACTGTATTCGAAAAATACAGTACAGTTACCCCTTCATTTGGAAACACAATTCGTTTCATGTAACGATCAAAAGGCAAAAAACTGTCATTTGAAAACTTAATTCCCATAATAGTATATGTAAATCTTTTTCCCAAATCCCAGAAGAATCGAGTACTAATTTCTTTACTTTTATATAGTACAAAAGAATTACAATGACAACAGTATTGCTGTGTTAATTACTGACCATTAAAGCCTCATTAACCTAACAGACCGCTTTCCATACATCAGATTGTTTTACATTGTGCCATAGTTACGGTATTAAACAAAACCTACAACGCCAGCAATACGTGTAACAGGATTCTTTAATGAAGCCTATATTATGAATCTACAAACCTATGGAATTAATGAAATACAGCTTTGAAGTGTTCAAATTAAGGTTTTCTTAATGAAAGTTTAAACTGATCAATTACCAGAAAGCTGACATTGGTAAGCAGGGGGCATTGTGAAAGATGAAATTATTCTCTTCATAGAAAAAAAAAATTGTATTTCATAAAATATGTATAAACTGCACACTTTGTCGTAGACATTCGTATTACTAACACTGTGGAGGATGTAGGATGCTTGGACCTGTTTCTAAACACTGAAGTGTTTTCCTCTGCTTTCAGTAGGGTAGGTGCCAAAGAAAGGAATAGCGATAGTCTCTCAGTATTTCCCTGAGCCAGAAAGAGCTAGAAACATCTATGCTTTATGAGTATGTTATGTTTTTGTTGTTTTCCACTAAAATACTTTATCTTAAGATAACTGTAAAGCATGTTTATGATCTCACCATGAAAAGAGATTAATAAATACAATATTAACAACAGTATTCTTAACCACTTCTTTGATTCCAAGAGATTGCAGGTATCCCTTGGGTACTAAATAATTGAGCTACCTCAGGACTGGCACAGTGGTTAGTGGGCCCCTGGGTTCAATTCCTGTGTACTGTCTGCATGGACTCTGCATTTCTCCCTGTGTTTGTGTGGGTTTCCTTCCACAGTCCAATGACTGGTATGAAAACTGGCCCTGGGTCAAGTGTATGTGTGTGTCTGTGTGAGCTCTGTGCTAGACTGCTGTCTTGTGTATCCTGTCTTGTGTCCATTGCTTGGCATTGGATAGGCTTTGACTCCCTCTCAACCCTGTATTGCATAAAGTGGTTAGGAAATGGATAGATGAATTCCCTGTTTTACAGAGAGTTAGTTTGTTTCTAAACTCTGCAAAACCCCTGACATTTATAATAGGGACACCTTAGTGAAGAACAGGTTGTCATCAGTGTTGATTCTGCCCTAGGGTTCAGTGTACAAAGAAGTGCATGGCCCTACAGTGGGCGATGCAGAGGGTGGGTGTGCACACTGTCTTCGTCTTTCCTATGCTTTGCAGGAACCCTTCGGCCACACTAAGATGACTTCCTGTTTTCTGCTCCCCTAGAATGTCTTTCAGCCGGTGCTTGCAACAGAGGATTTTGAGGTGTTCAAGTCACTGATGGTTCAGAAGAATGTGGAGCTGCAGCTGCAGGCCCTGCGTGTGATTCAGGAGAGGAATGGTAATAATTCTTTACGTTTACGTACTGCTTTCTGTCCAGAGTGATCTTGCCTATAGGAGAGGACCCAATTCTTTAACCGCTGGAGTGCAGCCCCACCTAAGTGACTTACAATTGATATTATGCGTCAGCTGCCCCATTACACAGGAGATCAGGTGGGAACTGCCACACCAGTTGAATTAAGTAGGAATGTTACGGGGTCAGATTGTCCTTAGCAGAATTTAGCCAGGACACCAGGGTTAAGATATCTGCTTTTTATATTCAGTGCCATGTGGTCTTTATGACAGAATACTTAGGACCTTGACTTAAAATCCAATCCATGGCGCTTCCTTCCTTTAATAGTAGATTACTGATCCAGAGAGTCCTCTGATCGTCAGAGGACTTCTATCCCAGTACTGGTCAGGTCCACCTTTATTTAGCTCTTAGGATCTGATCAGATCAGCCTGCAGGATGGAAAACTGTTCAGGCTTCAGGGTTTGTTCAAACCAGACTCTTCATCTTCATGAAGAAACATGAAGGAGAAGCAAAGTCAGTTGAAACAGTTTCACTGTGTAGAGCTGTTTGCTCGACCCCAGATGGATTAACACTGAAGCTTTATTTATCTTAGACTTTCCTGGGTCGTTAAGAGATTTTCCCGGTTTTAAGATGAAAGGACCTCACCAAATTTGTCTCTGCAAAGTGTTTCTCCGTGGATGATGCCTTGTTCCTGTGTTTAAATGTCAGACTAAGAGCTTTGCAGAGTTATTCAAGTGTTGGCACTTGGCAGGCAGTTGAGGCCCAAAGCCTTCAGGAGTCTGTTTTAACATTTTAACAGCCAGCAGTAACTTGAGGATAGGGGAACTCTTCCCCCTACACACACCCATTAAACATGAGCTGAGTGAATACATTAATGAAAACACTAAATATTCGTATTTATTCCTAGTCTGAACTGTGTAATATCACTTATGTTCTTGATCTAAACATGCAAACTTCAAAGTGTAATCAATACTTTTTGTTGTAAATGTATTTTAGCTGATATATGTAATTGTACAATTCTGAGATTTTTAGAGGTCATGAGCGTATGCATGTGATTCAGGCAGGGTTTGGATGTCTAGTTTGAGCAATAAGGACAGGTAAATCCTGAGATCTGTTCCTGCCTCCCATCAGTAAAATGCTGTTTGTAGTTCATATTGTTACACTCCCATCTCCTGTGTCACATTGGTGTTATGCCCTGTTTCTGTTATCTTTTTTTTGGTATTACAGAGCTTGCTGTAGCTTTTTAAATGTATTTTTGTTGTATTCCTCTCATTGTAACTCACCCTTAGGGTTTCAGCTAGATACTACTGAAGCTAATAAGAGTGATGTGGCACACAGCTCATTCTGTCTGTGCTGCTCAGGTATGTTAACTCTCCCCACTGCGCAGGTACCCTGCCCGAGTGTCTGACAGATGGTGCAGACATGATATCAGAGCTGGAGCAGCAGGAGTTAAGGATACTGAAAGAAGTGCTGAAGTAAGTGAATTATCAACTTTTTAATGAATGGAAAATGAGGCCATTCAGCCCATCTAGCCCAGTTGGTAGATAACAAACTGATCTGAGGATCTCATCTGAGCATTCACAGACAGAATACTGAGTATCTACTTGGGCAATATGGCAGGGTAGCTTGTTCCACACTCCCACAACCTTCTGTGTAAAGACATGGCTCCCGTTTTCAATGCACTTCCATGTAGTTTCCACTTGTCTGCTGGGTGATGTCGCGCTTTGACTCTCAATACTTCTGCTAGTTTGACATTGGTGATGCCGCCGAGGATGATGAATTCTGGGATCAGGTTTCCTCCAAGGTTTGGTACCTTCAGCCTGTCAGTGTAGGACATTCGCTTAAGCCCCAGAATGAATCCGGTAGCTCTTCTCTGGACTGATTCCAGGGCAACAATTTGGTGACCAAAATACACAAGTTATACTGTCAGTCATCAGTTGATTGAAATTGTGTACTTTTAACTCTTTCCTAACATTTACTTTGTATTTTGTGCTTCATCATTTTCTAGATGTAAATTATTAACACAGACAACAAAGTCTTTATCATAAGTAGCCATATATAGCTTAGCATTTCACATTTTGTATTTGTAGTTTTTATGGATGAGCACATTTTAGAGACATTTTACTTTATCCTTTACTATACTTGTTATAATAGAGAACAAATGCACTGAATTCCCAAATTTTACATTTGTGTAGTCTAGGTGTGACATGATGGGGACAGCCTTAGTGTGGTTTAGGCACAGTGATTTTCTTTTTTTTTGTATGATTTTCTTTTGATGGCCAATTAATGCTTTTTGTTAACATAAATATTCTGAATATTATTATAAATATTCTGAATATTCATATAAAACAAAGTATGAAAAAGCATGCTTGTACTTGTATAGCTTTGTACTTGGACTGCTTGCCATGCTCTGGGCTCTAAAGGGAATCTGTGGAATTGCACAAGTTAATGTATTCTCGTTTCTTCCTTTGGCATTTTCTCTCTCCAGGATTTCTGAGCAAGTTTAACTGGACCTCCAGTAGTTCAGGTCTGCCCTGTCATGTGCTGGCAGCCTTCCTGTTTCCTATACCTAGCGTCTACACAGTGAACGGCACTGTGGTCAGGGTGCTGCCAGTGCTGATGTGGAGAACAACATGCTTCACTGTGCCCCAGTGACCCTTGCAGGGCTTAGACTGAATCTTGGAGCTCATCCACCTCTGATTAGATCAGCAGGTGAATGAGGGACCTGGCGCTGTGGCTGAGATCAGAGAGTTTGCCAGGGCACAGGGGTGAAAGAATGGGACTCAGCAGTGCCCTGCTGCTTTCCGAAACAGCCTTAAAGCTTGTTTCAGTGTGGGACGCTTCGCAAAATGCAGTTGGTTATGAAAACATAAGAGGTTACAAATGAGAAGGCCTATCAGACGTGTGTGATTACTAGTAATTGATCCAAGGTTTCCTTCTGGCTGTTTCTTGAAAGAATCTGGGGTATTGGCTTCAAAAACATGGGTGGTTAGCTTGTTCCACACCCCACATTACTAGCGTTCTGTGTGGTGAACTACTTACTTTCTGATCTCAGTTTTAGACAAGCTTCTACGTAGTGTCCACTTGACTCCTTTGTTTTGTTTCACTGTCGAATCTGATGTGGTCCGCTGTGTTTAGCTTCTGAATATTTGAATCAGGTCCTCTCGTAGTCCGTTCGTGCTCCATTCTAAATCTATACGGTTCTTTTAGCCTTTCGGAGTTGGACATTCCCTTCAGCCCTGAAATGTACCTGGTTACTATTCTCTGGACTGGCATCTCTCAGTTCCTCTCCCACTCTGTAACGTTTCTGCTTCTCTTGCATATATACACGTGACGTCTTTCTGATGAGAGTTTTCTTGCAGTCGCTGTCTTGCAGTGGACGCTGTAAAGAGGTGAAGAGTTGTGGGTCTGGTGAAAGTGGATGATCACCTGCAGGAATGCTAACTTCCTGCTGTGGGAGCCCTGGATAGTCCCATAATGGGATTGATGCTATTCCCGCTAAGCTAGGTCTTAGGAGCTGTGTCTATGGTGAAGTAATCTTCTTAAGACTGTTAATATCAGGTTGTGAGGCAACTGTGTAAATAATATTTTTAGCTCTGATGGATTTTGACCAAAAGCTGACATGGATCTTATCAGATACCCCTCTATCCCTTTTCTCCCTGATTCTCCTGGTTGATGTAGTGATGTCTGTTGCCTTGTAATGTGGAAACTAGTTTCATTTATTCACTGGGATTTCTGTTTCAGTTTTTCACCTCTTTGAGATCTCCTTTTGTGAGGAGGTCAATGAAACATGTGGTGCAACTTTTTAAAGTTTCTCCAGCATTCTTCTGTAAAGTGCCAAGAACGTATTTTTTTACATCCTCTGCATTCATAATAATTTTTATGTTTTTCTGACCATAAAGAAATTAAATTCAATTTATTTTTATATAGCGCCTTTCACAACAAGGTTGCCCCAAGGCGTTTAACAAAGCAAGTGACCATACATGTTGTGAATACAGAACAGAAACCCGACGACAACAGAGGAGAGGAACCAAAAACTCCTTAGTAAGGAGAAAAAAACCCTCTAGGGGTCCAAGGTCAACTGGCTGCCCAACCTCTTTGGGCATGCTAACATTATAAGATGCTGAAACAGCCAGGCTGGGGTGAGATAATAATAATAAAAAACTTTATTTTATATAGCGCCTTTAGAGGTGGCTTCTCAAAGCGCTTTACAGAATGACAACAATAAATAAAAAGAATACACAAGATAAAACACAATTACAATACAAAGAGGAGACTGTGGATGGTGGTACTAAGAAAAATAGAAGCAGAGGGGTAAAGAATGGAACCAGTTAAGTAAAGGGTCTTCTAAAGAAAAAAGTTTTGAAAGCCAGATTGGAGGGGTTCGAAAAGGTTATTTGTCATGAGGTTGTTATGTAACTGAAATGTGACAGCCGGTTCTAGAATTTTTGAAAGGAAGGGTAAGTTGGAGATGGGGCGAAAATTGTTAAGATTGTCCAGAGCCATGTTGGGCTTTTTTGGCACGGGGGTAATGGCAGCAGTTTTGAGGACCGACTTTCACCTTTACCTTTACCTTTATCTGGGGGTGCAGGAGATCAAAGGAAGAGTATGAGCAGGACATGGCGAGGAGGCAGCTGTCGGAGGACGAGGGTGGCTCGACTTCCAACAGCAGTACAGAGCGGATGGCCTTTGACAGCACCGAGCGGCAGGACACGGTGCCAGGCCAGGCGTCTGAGAAACGGGCCGAGAGCACGCCTTCTGTGAGTCTCTCCTCCCACGGCAGCAGGGGGTTTCCAGGTCCAGGGACCTGCTTTTCAGTGCAATCCAGTCTTACTTAAAGTATTTCAAAAAAGGCGCCATCCTTGCATAAAACGGAGGTCTTGACTCTCTGTGTTCATTAAAAATCCCAGGGCGTTTCTCGAAAAGAGTAGGGGTGTAACCCCAGTGTCCTGGCCACATTTCCCATTGGCTCTTACCAGTCATGGCCTCCTAATAATCCCCATCTCTAAACTGGCTTCATCACTCTGCTCTCCTCCCCACTGAAGGCGCACTCTGGCTGCTGGCACGCATGGTGGTGGTGGAGGGGAATCTCCATTACCTAGAAAGAGCTTTGATTGGAGTGTCCAGAAAAAAAGCTATATAATTGTAAAGATTATTACTTAATTCAGATTTTGGATTCATTAGTCTGGATTAATATGGTCTATAGCCACTAACTGAAAATACCCTTAATGTCAGAAGACTTGTGTCCAGGGGAGGAGACCTCTGTCCACTGCACTTATTTTTGCAGGGATGCATCCTTGAGGCCACCGTCTCTCTCGGTCAGAAAGAGATTTTTCTCCAAACTCTGATGTAATGATACTTCAATTTATTTTTCAATTCAGTTTATTTTTATATAGCGCCTTTCACAACAAGGTTGCCCCAAGGCACTTAACAAAGCTGTGTGACAATATTTCATGGCATTACAATACAGGAAGAGAAAAAGCCAGAAGACAACACTGTTATTTGCTGTGGACACTGGAAAGGAGGACTGCCTATCTACAGATGTTAACCTAGTAGATCTGAGATGGCAGACTGACATTCAATACGTTCAGGGTACTTGACTCTTTGCAAGCCTGTTGAACCTGTTGACACATGAACAAGTCAGCTTTTATGAGACAACAGCTCCGATTTCCTGCAGTACAGTAATCAACATAGGTAGTGTTGACTTGATAAAGTGATACGATAAACTACATTCGGGGTTTGTTTGGACCTATATGCTTGGGAAATGATGGGCATGTGAACAAAGAAATGAATTAAATCTACCATTACATGAAAGATGATGTTCTTGGAGCTAACAGTGTGATTAAAATGGGCAGCCAAGATGTAATCCAGAGAGTGTGATGTTGGTATATTTTCTTTGTAGGTGTGCAATGCCTCAAGGATGGCCGAGGAGAAAAATATAAAAAGTGCTGGCAAAGCTGGGGATAACATGAAACATGGCACCAACAAAGTTGGCACACAGCCCACTGCAAAGCTGCTGCCTGGTAGGTGGTAGGTGTAAAGATGTGCTTGTGTCTTGTGAATTATGTGGTACTGTATTAGCAACTGTACAATTTTTGCATTACTATACAAGTAATGCAAATGTCATTCAGTTGCTAATATAATAATTAAAGTGAAGCAGTATATTTAAATCTTATGACAAATGAACTGGTCTGGCTCTTATTAATGGTGGTCTTGTAACACTCTGGAGTGTACAACTTAGAGGAGTCCGCACTGTGGTGTATATTTGCTTAGCAAAGACTAGACCAGTGTATAGCCAAGATGTCCTATAGCCATGTAGAGTAGTGCTGCTCTAATCTGCAACAAGAAACCATCCATGTTCAGTAACTGCTTTACACTTAGCGGGTTCAGCTATAAACCTGGCAGGTGCATGGATTCACTCGGGGTGAGACAGCCCTTGGGCACCCATGCATAAGGAGAGGGCACAATGGAGAGATGCCATTTAAAGGCAACAGCTGCAGAAACAGAAACTCTTGGCTGAAAAGCTGAAGAAAGTCCTCAGAAAATCCTGAGGGGGTTTTGGACTGTGGGAGGGAACTGAAGCACCTGGAGAAAACATAGTGAGAATATGTTCAGGTGGGAAACTGCATCAGAATGTGTAGGCTGCAAAGGAACGAGTAATAGTAATTCCATGCTGAAGAGAGAAGAAAGAAAACACGTTTCGGTCGAAAAACACTGAAAGTTTCCAGGTACCTGTTATGCAGCTATGTACACATTCTTCTCCTTCCCCCGCATGGGACTGCGGTCAGTTTTGTGCCTCTTCAGGCTGGAATGAGTGTTTTGAGTGCAGTGAGTGAATAATCTGGTGCAAACTGTGTTCAATGTGTCGCCCAGGGAGGAGCGGTGCAGATGCTAAGCTTCTGGCCCCTGTGAGAGCTCCAGTCAGGGGGTCCGAGCCAGCGGCAGACCCCAGGGAGAAGAGCAGCACTGAGGCTGCCGAGGCCTGGCTGGAAGAGGCGCGTAGGGAGGCCGGGATATCCAGGCCTTTCACTGTGAGTTCACGTGCTCTTTTTCTAGTTGGAAGGACTGAAGGAAGTTCATCACACCTGTTTTTAATAGCAGCTTGAGAACTCACTGGAGCAAATCTGGAGTGTCATTAGGCCTTGTTAGCAAACTGAGTTACTTAAACTGTGTGTGTGTGCGCGCGTGTGCTGTAGGAGCTGTCAGCTGCACAGCAGGAGCAACTCCAGCAGAGGGCGCACTATCTGAGACAGCAGAGGGACAGGCTGCTAGCCATGAAGAGAGAGCAGAGAGACAAACTGTCCACGTCAGAGGAATCGCCAGTGGCTCTTGCCCCCAGGACCGTGGTAATGAACCTTTTGACCTGTAGCGGACACACCAGCAATAACTGTTTTATCAAGGTGTAGGTTAATTGGGATCAGAATAGGAATACTGCATGTCCAAGTCATCTGAACGCCACATAGATTTCTGTAGCATTTTGATCCTCCTTGATGTAAATAATCACCGATACTTTAGGATGGAATTTCCTTCATCGAGGACAAGCATGGCAGAAAGATAATTACTAACTTTTGATAGAAACTGGTTAAAAACCTAGCAATATCTTTAAAATAAGTGCTCTGATGAAAAAATGTACAGATGCTATATTTCATTTTACATACTTAAACCCCACTTTTTGAACCACCATTGCATCAAACAACTAGGCTCAGTACTGCCAAACTAATTTATTATCCATGTGCTCAACACATCATTTTAAACGAAGAACTTGGGACACTGCACTGCTAAAACCATTAATCAAACACTGTGATGTCATTAATTACATGGCACTTCAAACCAGGACTTCCTTTTTGTTTTGCGTTGCCTTTGTTTCACAGTTGTACACTGTTTCTGTCGTCACGCAAAAAAGGACAGTTCTGGTACACGAGTCAATGATAAAGTTGCTGAAGAGAGTGTACAGACCGCGAACTTGTCCTAGCCAAGACAGGCACACAGGGCACCTAAACAGTGTTTTGTTGTGTGATGCATTTGGGATTGAGTCCCTTTTATTTCTGCATAGAACATTCCACAAAATCATCTACATCATTCTGTGTAGGGGAGGGTCATCTTTAATCTGCTGATGATGTGCTATCTTCATGTTCAATATACCCTTGACAAAAAATAAATCTCTTCTGAGTGGGTAATATTATTGTTTTAGGTTTCTTTACTGATCATGCAGCTGCATCATGGCTGGGAGGAGGTTTTACCTGTGGGTATAACCCACACATGTAGAGCTACAGCAAACTTCAGGGTTGTTGTAATTCAAGTGCCCAGTAGCTCAGGTCTTAAGTAAAGGCAGAAGGTGCTATGGGGCACAATGTTAACGTTTTGTTTTCTCAAAAGGAAATTTCTGAAGAGGAGAAAAGACAGCTGCAGAAACGGAAACACTTGGCTGAAAAACTGAAGGAAGAAGTCATCAAAAAATCGTGAGGGAGTTTTGGATCTGGATAAGTACTAGTTTCTCCAAGCACCTTGGACCACAGCAGATGGATTTTTGTGCCAGTTCCACTGTACAGCTCTAGCTAGGGAACACAGTATTGACTATTTTTCCTTCTTCATCAGAATCATTCACTTTACAGCCACAGCTGCAGAGGAGCAAATAAATGGACTGAATTATCTGGCTGTAATGACCTGTACACTGTTTAATAAAACAATTTTCTATATATTTTTTTTAAATTAGAGCTTATGTAGTTTAAACCACAGTGGCCTAAGAAAATAAAATAGACTCTAATTTAGGTTAATTTGACATTTGCCATGCTTCCCTTAGACAGACAACCACCTGATGTTACTGTACCAATCTAAACTTTCATCAGGCAGGAAGTACCAAAGATGTGATCTCTGTATTAAAGTTTATTTATATAAGTCTGAACCACTGTGTCAAAAGCCAACTTTTAACATACCACCCCACTACGGGGGAAATTTCACAATGTTGTGTCCATTATTCACTATTTTAAAGTTCCAGGCAGCTGTAAATATACTGGTAGAAAACAATGAAAGTAGACCAGCTTGGACATCATTTATACAGTGACTTTGTAGAAACCCACATCTTTGGCATCAGCTGATCACCAGGTGGCTATAGAAAAAAAATGCTTTGGTGACAGGAGTGTTGTATAGGCTAAGGAAATTATACACGTCTATTGCGAACAAGAGGGCTTAGGCTCAGAATTATTTCAGATAGGTCAGGAAAGACCAGGCTTAAAAACCCCTTGGCTGCATGCCCAATTCTATGCCACAGATTTAATGCACAGGACCAGCAATGCAGACTTAGAGGCAAACTGAGCCAGGAAGCACCCTTTGACTCATCTGCACTTTACAGGTTTTGATGTTAAAGACTCAGCTGCCATTTCTCCAAGAAGGGGGTGTCAAGGTATGTATACACATACATATTGAATAACTGTAGCCATCAAGCATTCAAGTCACATGAGCTAGAAGAGAGGATGCAATTTCTGTAGGTATTCCAGGACCCCATAAGGCTTCTGAAAGCCATAGGTCACTATCTGCTAAAAAAAAGCCAGGTCCTCTTTCCCCACCACCAGCCCATGTACATGGGCCAGAATAAAGCTTGTTTCAAAGGTGCCCCTATTATTCTGACAAGCTCCCCAGAAAGAAGCAGGGGACTTGCTGCTGGAACAGATCCGCTTGCTGACCATCGCGTATGAAGCTGCACAGGAACGGAACGGAACAGAGGTTAATTTTACACACTTTTCAGCATGAAAATGATGAACCTTCACTTGTTCCTGTTATTTCTAAAATTAAAGAGCAATGGAATAAGTAATACTGTTTCCTCAGTATGCTGCCACAGAATAGCTTGTGTGGATATTTTGAAGTAAGAAATTAAGTATTTACACAGATTTAAAAAAAGTCACACCAACCAGACATCACAGTAGCTGGAATATTATCTTTCAGGTGACAAAAAGTACCAGCATGTAATAAGACAAAATTAGCTTATTTTAATGCCAGGATCATATTTAATCTCTGAATTTTACATCAGAACCTTTTTTTAATGTATCAAACATATACAAATGGTGTAGAACGGAGAGAGTGGCAGTTTATTCACTCATACAAAACCTTCTGGAAAAAATATTAAATCTACAGAGATCCCACCTTTGAAAGTTACATTTTTTTTTTATCTATTAGACTCCCCAAATGGGCATACCGATTTATTTTGAAATGCTTACATCTGCTTTAGCAATTTCAAAACAAAGTTGCTGCAAGAGGAATACCAGTGTCAGATGGCTGCAACTAGTTTAACAACCAGTGCTAAACTCGGAACAGTTTGACTGTAAAAACCATGCTACAGGAAAACCTGCACCAACACGTCTGCCTAAAGATTTGTTTCCTCTGCAAATAGAAAAAGATTAGCTGCATTAGGTAAAAAAGTAGAACATTGATTTACAAATGAACTGCAGTTAACTTAAGCATGTTTTTTTTTTAATTCTGCAAGTTTCCAGAAATTCTTAAATCTCACCACCATCTGAATCCTTGAATAAGTTGGTTTCTCAGATTTTGAAGATTTTTTTAATCAAAATAGTGTTTCCCTAAAAAATATACTATTTGTAATAAAGTTAATGAGGGTAACCTTGACATGAAGTAAATCAAACAGCCAAAACAGATTTAAAAACTTTAAACATCCTGTTATCTTGACAGCAACTGCCCCCTTTTGCTGTATTTTTAATAGGTTTTTTTTAAAATCACTATTGCAACTGTGCTCTCCACATTGAATCATGTTTCTGGTTAAAAGAAAACTAAACAGTGGTCCCACCTGAAGTGTTCTGAAGTTACACTAGCAGGTATAGCTCCCCCCTTTGAAATAGCTTCATGGGATAAACTGGTAAAAAAAATGCACACTGTACAGTACTTTTAATAAAATTATGAATACAGGATTTGTTACTGACATGGTTCCAGCATTAGGCCCACAAATTAGACCAGGTTTGAATGTCTGAGTCCTGCTCCTTGGAACTAGTTTTTTTTCTCTATCAGGTCCTCTCCAAATGTTAGGACCCAAAGCTCTAGAGTTTCAGTCAGGCTTCCATTACTAACCTGCTAGTCCTGCCAGCCTGACTGGCCTGCTACCAGCCCTGCATCCCTCACTCGTTTTGAAAAGTATCCAGGTAGTGGGATGTGCCGTGCTCCTGGCCTGATGCCGTGCCAGTCGAGTGGGGAGCACTGGCACACTGGTGGCTACACCCTGGGTCCTGGTCTATCCTGGTGGTTGTGTTGAAGTGGGATGCAGGGAGGAGAGGTTTCTCTCAGTCCGGTGGGCTGCGGAACAGTGGCACCAATGTAGTCAGACCAGGCAAGACTTCCTGCACCTGAGCCTTTTACGATCCTAGGCGAGGCCGTTTCCTAGGAGACTCCTCCTCCTCGTCTTCCTCCTCCTCCTCTTCGTCGTCTGGATAATCCACAAGACCAACCAAACCCGCCTGCTGGTGCAACAAAACAAAAGGGCCTTCATGATCAAATTGAAATCCAGAGACGCCAACACTGAATCTGCCCCCTGTAGTGGCACTTTGGCAAACTTGAAAGCCCTGCAAATAAATTTTTTGGCTTTTGGTACACATTTTCATCACACAGGAAGGCCTTCAATAAAGTAAGGTTCACTTGAACTTATCAGAAACTATTATTACTATCACAGAGGATCTTTATTATGCTGCATCTTAGATTCCATACTACAGGAACTACATAGTCCGAATGCCCTGGTATCTTCTGAAAAACAGAACCACTGCCCTGAGCCAGCTGACCTTGGTCACAGCTGCAGCCGGCGCAGCTGCGAGCTTGGCCGAGGAGCTGGTGGGACTGCCGGGAGATGTGGGGGAGCCCGAGGACTTGCTGCTGGCACCGTTCGCCCCGTTCCCTGCTCCCGCGGAGTGAGTGAAGGTGAACTTGAAGCTGCCGCTCGAAGTCCTCTTCGGCAGGTTCTCCTTGTCTTCACTCTCTTTCACTGGGCAGTCAAGAGGGAGAACAAGCTCAACACCACGAAAAGAGCTACGGCGACCGATCGGCACGATCTCTGCACGTGTAAAAGCTGAATAGCAATTATTTTAAACTGCAACTAAGTGAAAACACACCTAAACTTAAAGAAAAATGCTGTAATGACCCTTACAAATGCAAATACCTTTTTTCGCTTCTATGAACTTTCCGTAGTTGTCAGAAAAGTCGTCCTCTGGTTTGCTCTTCTCAACAGGAAGGACCACAGCTTCGCCCTCCTCATCATCATCTTCATTAAACCACGTTTCTTCATCGTCCTCCAGAGACCTGGCATCCCGGCGGTATCTGTCATGACACAGCGCAGAGAATGTACTCTAAGTGGTTGCCACAGACTTCTGCTAAATCACTTCTGACAGACAACAAGGGAACCATTTCTCCGGCTCTGTCCAGGGGATAGCTCTAACCAACATGTTGCTAATTTACCCCAACTATTTTCTATTTTAGCTTGGGTTTTCTAATAACTAATAGCAGAAAGCTTCCAACCAGTTTGCCCCAAACCAGATGATGTACTAGCTAGGTGGTGTCAGCAACTGGTCCTTAGCAGAAATTCTCGGTCTGTGGCCAAGTCAAATTTTTTTTGCAATGGACTGCCGTATGCAGAAAAAAATGGCTTCAAAAGTAAAACAGACATGCCAGTAGCTCCGCCAGGAAAAGGTTAGGAGAGGGGATGGCTGCTTCCACAGCAAAACTTTTTTAAAAGTGTTAGAATTGCTGATAACATTACATGCCAAATGCTTCAGTGAAACTTCTTCTGGAATCACGAAAACTGAACCAGTGGAGTGCATACTTACCTGTTGAGTCTCTGACTCTGGCGGTCCTTCTCCTGCTCATATCTCGTCTTGAGCCCTTTGAAGGTCTGAACATACTCAATAGATTCAAGTGCTTTGTAGAAGTTATCTACTATGTGTGCTATGAGAGATTTAATATCCTCCTAAGTGAAAAGGAAAATAAAATTAAAACAGGAGCAACTCAATTTAAAATCTTGGAACTGCCACTCAAAAATACTCTTGCTTACATTCTTATTGATTTAATGCATTGTTTCTCATGTAGTATGGGTAAAATGCTTTATTTACAACCAATGTTATGGTACCTATATCACCATTCAGACAGCAAATATAGCTCCAGTATAATTTTGATCCTTAACTGTATATTCAAGGTCCATTCACTGCAATATCACTTTTATAATTTCTAAAAAAACAAACCTCACAGTGAAAAGCATAGAAAAAAAATCACAATTAAGCTTTGTTCCAGCTTTGAGTTTTTAAAATATAGTGCATATTATTTTTTAGCCTATTCTACATCACGCAGTACTTCACATGTATGAAAACAATGAACCAGAAATCAATTAAATGTCTTTATACTTAAAATTAAAGCCTGAATAACTTTAAACAATAAACATCAGGACAATTAAATTAATTTTTAGAAGCAAACTATCAGTTCTACTTTTCTACATTATGCTTTATTAGATAATTGTTCTTAACGATATACAAAATATTGCAAAAAATCAAGTTTGATGAAACACTTACTACTTTAATGAACTCAAAGAGCTCAATAATGGCAGAATTTAAAAGATTATATCTCGTTCCATTGTCCAACAAGGCATTTATTACTGGCTCGAATAAGTTCCCTTTAATGATGTAACGGTTATAAAACTCATCCTTTAGGCCTATGATTCTTCTCATGAAGCGCAGCGCACCTGTGTACAACAAAATCAAGAACAGTAGATAAATCCCATGGAATCACATTTCCAGTACTGTCAAAAAGGGATTTCTAGTGCAGAGTTTAGCACTCCTGACTGACAGCTAAACCTGTGCACAGTAGCATCATGAGCTCAATGTACCGAAACCACAGGGAATCCCGACAACCTCCAATCAGTTTTTAGGGGAGAGTGAATGGGTAAGGTCAAAAACACATTTAAAAGACCAAATCAGGTCTAATCTGAAATCCGCAGAAAAACAGTTTAGAGGTCAGGGGTAATACTTTCATATTCAAGTGCACAGACAGACCTTTTTAAAGACCAGCTACACTGCACCACTGACCTTTAACCTCTCATTAATGCATGGCTGTTCTTAATGGAAGACAAACTTACACAAAGCTAAGAAGGTGTGTTTAGAGTTCATCAGCACCAGAACCCGCCTCAGCAGGTCTTTGTTCATGATGTAGTTCTTTATGTGATAGGTGTGATGTTCCACACAGAACGTGAGCAGCTCCAAAATCAAAGCCAACAATTGGGCTGTCTGGAAATTATCTGAAAAGGACAAATATTTAAAATAAATACAATTTAGAAAATGCATACAAAGCTATACTTTAAAATTCTAATGTACTGTAAAGCACAAAGAACAGAGCCATACTGAAATACACAAAAAAGCACTAAATTTCAAAGGCAAAATCAAGCACTTACCAGGACAAACTGCACTAATCTTGGGGGATCCAACTACAGCATCTGACAAACAAGTACAAGCCAGTAAAAACAAGGAATGCAGCTATACCTTCAGCACAATAATTACATATTGAGCACCAGTATAAGCTAAATGTAGCATTTTCAATATTTTTAAAAAAGTGAACTATACTTCATGCATGTTGTAAAAACATTCCAGACAATAGCTGTTACAGAAAGTTATCTGGGAAAAGCTGTCCTTTTATAACAGAGACCATATAATTTTTACCTAATCAAGTTAATAGCTAGTTAGGAAGGTGAAGGCATATTTCAAAAATGACTCTGAATCAAGATCACAGAAACATTAAGTGCATCCAAATTAGTGGACCCATATTGTGATATGAAAAATCTTATCAGTTAGAGAAATCAGTATCTCTTAAACACCCCCTAAATCTTGCCTTGGTTTTGGGGCTATAAGGAATTGTAAGCCCCAATGCAGTGCACAGGTATCTGGAGTATCTGACAGCACATGCACAAATCTTACCCAATGACCAGGCAGAGCCTTAAAGCAGAGGAGGACAGGACACATTCACAGTGCAGCAGCAAAAGTCAGTTCCACCTTACCTTTGACATTCTTCTCCTCAGCTGTATTAGCCAGAAGAGGAGCAGTGAGAACATGCATGCAGTACTTGTAGAAAAAACTGAGGAATTCTGTCTTCTCAGTTTTCTGCAAAGCAAAAAAAAAACCACTCCATAAAGTCACAGTTGGAGGACTGAAAACACTTGTGACCTTCTGAGAGATCACCATGGACACAAGTCTTACATTTGTGGGTGCCAGCATGTTTTCAGGGTCGATCAGGGTGCGAAGAAGGCCCATCAACTGGACAGCTCCCCCCAGCTCTGGGTCCGTGTCACAGATCATTTGTTTGATCACCACGTTTATCAGAAGAATGTCCTGCATATTGGAGAAGAGTCAGTGAACGATGCTTTACTCACCAAAATCAGGATTTTTGACAACTAGATCAGCAAATCTTAATTACAATCCCCAAAAAATCAAATCATGACATATCTTAAATCCTCAGTGACAAGTTTGATCCAAGCCAAGCACTAAGCTTTCGCCTGTAGTAGATCTGCTCATGTTATACTGATCTTGTTGCTCCCAAAGGCTCAAAAACAGATGACAAACCTATATCTGCTAAGAGTTTACCTGGATCAGCAGTAATTTAAAAAAAAAATGCAGCAAAAAACATGAACTTTAAGCAGAAAAGGGTCCAAAAAAGTCAGGCACAAAAATGGGTCTTGAAGTTTCCGCTCACAGATTCCGGCTTTGAAAAGGCCAACAAATCCCTACTTACATCTTCATTCTGCTGTGGCTCCTGCATGACAAACTCTCGAACCATGGACGGACTGAACTCCACCAAATAAGAGAAGATGTCTGTTGCTGCTGCCCTTACTTGCAAGTCATCCATGCCCTGTCAAAAAGAAAGACTCCACTGAAAGCTGAAAGAAACCTGTCTGCAAGGGCGTTCCACACTTAAAATCCTGGAACCCATTTTCCCCTTGAATGGTCCAGTGAAAAGCCTCGAAATCAAAGTTGAGCAAACCAAAGCTCATACAATCATTAATATGATAAGATATGTAGCTGCTTGAATGCTGATGGATTTCTAAGAGTGTACACTTGATATTGTTTGGCTTTTTCAAAATCATAGAAATCCAGTAAGACAAGGGGTCATCAAGGTATAGACCACCCAGTTTCGGAGATGGTCAGGGAGCATGTTTCCCCACTTTGTAACTCTTTTCCTTCTATTTTTAAAGGTCAGGATTGATTTTCATTCTTCACATAAAATTAGGAATAAAATACAGGAAAATGATGCTAATCCAATTACTCACCATCACTATTTCAAGTGCAGGAAGAATTCCCAAGTTTGCCAGAGTCTTGAAAAATGCGTCTCTGTTCTGTGGTTGTAATGTTTGTGAAAATGCACAGAACTCTTTGAAAAAGTTAACCTTTAAGGAAAAAAAACAGGCTTAAAATGGATATTTTATCATGTTAAAGGCAGAACAAAAAATAAAACCTGATCAAGTTCAACTGTCTTCATCTGCTATTTTCTACAAATTACAACTTGGTTCAGGAGCACTGTCTCTGTGGAAGCTGATGTCTCTTCCAGCACTTATAAACTGGAAAACCATGCTGACATCACTCTTCAGCTGAACACAACTCAAAGTCATAGATATTTTAGTAGAATGTTGAATCCTCTGCACACACAGGTGAGCGCAAGCACCAGGTTTCACCTTATATTGTGACAACAGCAGTCCTCACAGCATCTTTCATATGGAATTTGACCAATGTATCCAGGTCAAGGAGAACACTGTGAAGGGTTATAGCAAATTAAGAGCACCAGATATCTGAGGATGAAGGATTCTCAGCTTTGAAACAGAAGAACTTTACCTTTACATAGAGAAACCATAACACTTACTAGTTCACGTCTCTTTACATCCTCAGTTGCTTCATCGGTTAACTGTGCAAAGACTTCAGACAAGAACTTCTCATCTTCCTATTGTAGAGTTAAGGGGGAAAAAATGATAAATTAATTTCAACTAACAACTCGATTCATAAAGTATAAATTAGAATGAGGTGCTGCACTGATAAATATGGGAAACATACATTGATGATTACATTGCTATGGGCAGCCAACAATTTAAGATGGGATCCCCGAGAAGCATTTAAGGTTTGTGAGAGAATGAAACAAGCCAAAAGCTCTTTTAATAATAATAATGTTTCTTTATTAGCCCAATACAATTTCTTGCATTAGGAATTCGTCTTTTCGCATACCCCAGCTTTTCTCCAAGGAGACACAGACAGGGAGAGAAGCTTGGGGTCAGAGCGCAGGGTCAGCTATTGTACGGCGCCCCTGGAGCAGTCAGGGTTAAGGGCCTTGCTCAGGGGCCCAACGGAGTAGGATTCCTCTGCCGGCCGCAGGATTTGAACCGGCAACCTTCCAGTCACAGGTGCAGATCCTTAGCCACAGAGCCACCGCTCCGCCCCAATAGTTTACTATTACTGTATATAATATACAGTAATAGTAAACTGGCATAAAGCACATTTGCTTTAAACTGGGTTTAAAGACAGCCACCACAGCTGAAATGAAGGACTACCCTGGTCAATGTGGTACCAATACCTAGTGGCATTTCAATCTGCATGGTGTCATTTTTATTGAAATAACGCTAAAAAAAAAACTCATCACTGGCCGGTGATACAGGTCTTTTAAAGCTGTAGCTGAATGTTCTACTAATAGAATGGATCCTCACATGTGCTCAGATGTGATTTAAGAAAACTTTAAGAAAATAAGTTTATAGCCTGTACCTTACTGTAGTTTTCACCCACTACATTGAAGAGGCATCAATAATTAGTGTACTATGAAACAAAACTTATTTAACGGTAATTAAATATAAAAAAAAATTCCCTTCTCACTTTACAAGCTAAATCTTCCAAAATCTTAACTGGCCATCAAGAAGTTCTCTCATGGCACTGTCACTTCTCTCTAGGAACACTTTATAGGGATGCTGAGTTACAGCTTCAACCTGCCCTCAGAACTGAACTCTCACACCTCCCATCTCCTCCAACGCCAAACACCTCGGAAGACACTGATTATTATAAGATGGTTACAAATGTGCAGTTAGTGCTTTTAAAACATTGCAAATTAGGCAAATTTAAAAGAAAAATGCTGTTATCAGTCTGGATAATTACTGGCATTGATGCAAATTTCACTGATCAATTGTCAGACCAGTCTTCACTGATTATACCAGACAGAACAGTCAAAACACTTGACTATGACCAGATTTACTTTCTCTTAACCAAATAAGCCTTTGGAGAGCTAAATCCAAGAGATTTTCCCATTTGAATGCTTAATCTTGGGCAAATAAAAACGCTGCAACGTAAACAGTAATTTATGCATTTTTAGTTTGACTACAGAGGACTACGAACATTTAAGAAAATGTTAATTCATGTTTTCACTTTGACAGACAACAAAAACATTCCTGTCAGCTATAATAAAAACCTTTAAAAAATCCATAGGCTTAAATTTAAAAAGATTCTTAACCGCCTGTGGTTAAAACCTCACTGTGTAATTTAATTCTTTTGAGTTTCAGCAGGTCTTGCTGGAACAGAGAACAAGTTCGGGACTCACAAGCAGCACAAGCAATGTCTCACTGGCATATTAAAGTGCCAGGTGTGGAACAAAGGCTCCCCAGCAGACGCCAACCTTTTTATTCTAGTGCTACCTCACTACACACCCCAATCTCATCCACATGTTCCTCGGGAAAGTGCTGCAACACGGCAGACAATATTCCAGGATGCAGGAAACATCCCGCTTACCCAACAGACATCTTTAATAAAGGTGTCCTGCAGAAGCACCGCAATGTATTTGGTTGGTAACCACGGTAAACTAATATAGTTTATTTTTGTTTATATGGGATTTAGTCATTCCAACCTGTCTTTTCCTTTAAAGAGCAGATTTTCACTCTTTGAAGCTGGGCTTTAGTAAAGCATTACCGAGATTCTTTTTGTATAATAAGGGCTTGTGTGTTAAGTGCACACCATATTTGATATTAAATGTTTATGTATTTGCTAACAACTAATACTGTACTGCAAATGAGCAGGAGTGTTACCGTTTGAGCATCAGCTAATGACTTTAAGCATGATACTTGCATAATTAACCAGGAAAGTTAGTTTTCATAATAAGGCACTTCTCTGTTTTAAGGTGAAATTGTTAATTATATTTGGGCTCTGCAGCCAACTTCCATTACAAACGTTTTCACCTTACAAGCAGTTTTCGGAGGGATTACTGCATTAACTTCCTACTGATGAGTAACATTTTGAACGCCCACCATCTGCCCTTTAAAATGGTAAAGACAGCCCCTCAATGAAAAGACAGCAATGAAATGATCTCTAAACTATGGTTTAGAAAGGCTTTTGTTTTTTAATGAAAACCTACCTGTAACATGCTCACAATCTCCACCTTGTTGAAGAAAATGAAGGATGTCAGCGTGGAGAGAAAGTTCTCTTCAAAAACAGAAGGAGTTGGCAAGATGATGTCTTGGATGTACTGGACTCTGTAGGTCTGATGGATCTTCTGTCGCAGTTCCGAGTCTGTGATGGGTATGACCTCCTTGAACTTGGCAGTCTTGGTCAAGAATTCCCTGTGCTTTTTTGGCTGCACTAGCGAGGGGTCATATTCCAGGCACCCCACCACATCCATGATGCAGTCGTCTGAAAACATGACCTCAAACAGAGCCGCCTTGTTGAGGAACAACACACCTCTGATGATTTCATACAGGTGGTGCAGGCCCTCAGTGTTCCCCATCTGTTCACAGACCTGGAACAGCTGCAGCAGTTTCTTAATGTAGCCCTCGTTCATTAGGGCCAGGGCCAGCTTCTCCCTGCGGATGGGAGAGGACAAAACCGAGGTCACGAGGTCGGCGATCTCTTCCAGCTTGTTCAGCTCGCAAGGCGGGAGGTCGACCAGGTGGCTGGTCTCGGGCATCTCCTCGACATGCTCCTCCTCGGACTCATCGATGGGGTCCTGTGTGATCTCAACCGTAGGGTCTTTTCCTTGAACCTAATATGTAGAATGCAAATGGACAGAATTTCTATAAAATAGAAAACTCAAAATGTCTTCAATGCAGCTGAAACAACAGTGAACAAAACACCCATAACCTAATTAAGAATCGTTCAACCCCAATGCAAGGATTGAGCTCAAAAAATTAATGCAGAACTTTATACAGTTTAGTCCTTATAAAGCCTGTTTTAGCATCACAATTGTGTAGATCCAGGTATAATGCTATCAGAAAAACTTGACTTTGGTTTTGAGACCTTCACTTTGATCTTAGCCAAACAACGTTAATAAAGAACTTCAACCTGGAAATTTTAAATGTTTACAGAAATCAGCTTTGTACAAAATCACAGCCAACCGAAAAACATTCTTGCAAGCAGCTATTTGAACTTTGTCATCGCCTTCTCTTTGATAGACAACATCCCAGCCCTCCCCCTGACTCAACAGCTGACATGGGCTCTGCAGCCCACGGGCTAAAAGGCCAAAGATACACAAGGAGATCTCTTGGGTTTCCATCGGACGATCACGAAACCACAGGAGCACTCCGCCTGTCGGCTTTTAACTGTAACCCCACAAACCCCAGAGCAAGAAAGAGCTTCCCACATGCCAAGCACACAGCTCCATCCTGGACTGAGTGTGGAGAACTGAGTGAGGATCAGCATTTGGCCCTCAATTTCCCCACTGCTACAAACTGCATTAACACTGCTCTGTTCTGATGCTGAAACAAAGACTGAAAATACAGAACACCAGGCGACTCATTACAACCAACACAAAAAATTCAAAAGCTAATGCTGACAGGACAGATGTAGACGTTAGTCTGTTAAACAAGTTTTTTTTTTAATATGTTCCACTTTAAGTCAGATCAATGTTAACACTTAGGTTAATTTACAACCCTTGTGAATTAAAAAAAAAACACAAACCCTGTCTGTAACTTAGCTATATACTTGCACAAGAACCTCCCAGTGAACACAACTGTGGGCAATGAGATTAGATACCGCTCTATCAACCCAAGAGTGTAGCTCAGTCCCCTGTGAAGTTCACAATACAACTGCACTTTCACAATGCACTACAGCTACAGGGAGCAGTGTCCATAGAACGTCACATCAGACGGCTCCCATGTAGTAAACTGTGGTACCTGGCAAGAAATAGCACCAGGTACAGACTAGGTGTAGTTTCCCCTTTGAACGCCTTGTTTGTAATCTCCCATCAGATTTGACCCAGCGCCTAATGTTCCCTAATGCAACAAAGGATGAAGTCGCAAACAATGTTTAGGAGCTGGTTTAAAATAGTAAAATTTCATTTTACTATAAAACACAGGTACAGGTAGTACTGCCTATAGCTCCTCAAAAAACTTTCTTAATCTCTCCATGTCAGCAACCCCAGATATAAACATTTATTTTTAGTAACAGGTATTTAAAGGCAGCCCTGCTCTTGGGTACATTCGTTTACCTGGCAAATCTTCTCCCATATTTCATCACAGCCTGCCTTCTCCTGGAAGCTCAGAGCCAAGTCATAATTCTCCGCCTCCGACCACACGATCAAGGTATCCTGCAAAGCAACAGCAGCACACCTCAGGCAAAGAAAGGAAATAAGACAACCCTGCTGTGGAAATGAAGATAAACCTGTTTAAATGAAGTCTCTTGTGGCCACAGGCTTTGTATGACCCCCCTACCATGTCAACCAAACTGCTGCTGTTAAGAACACATGACTGTGACCCATGATATTCTATAATCACCGCTTGTCACAGTCTGACAGGCTGCCCTCCACCATCTCATTCAAATACTGTGACAGATAAAGAATAAGTGCTCTCAAAACACTTGTTGAATGAACTGTCTGGTGTTGTTGACAATACTGTTCTTCAAATTACTATCAATTGTGTATCAGTGTGTGGTGTTGTTCATTGTACTGTGCATGTCCTGAGAGAACAGTAAGAATCCCATTATACAAGTAAATGGAGAGATTACACACAGATGCAGAAAGGTAGTCTTCGGACATTATTAACAATGGAATAAGTATTTTTGTTTACTCAGTATCTCAATCATGTTCACTGTAGGTTACATTTCACAGGCCTATTATAATATGGTGAAATTCAACACATCAAATGGGCATTTTGGGCTAGGAAACTGAGAAATGTGCGAGACGAAAGGACAGTGTTACTACCTCATTTTACAGTGCTCACGCCTTACACTGCTACTTTAACACTCAAGGAAACCTCACTTCAACGGTCATATAATACATGCAAGAGTACATGAAGACATTTCCGACGTGTCTAATCACACGCAGTACTTACTTGCTGCTTCTGATATGCCGTGTTCGGACTGATTTTAGACTCCAGCAGAAGCGACCCTAAAAAAAGAAACGGGTTTTTCAGAGTTAACGCTGCGTTGTCACTGCTACCTGCTGGTTTAACCAGCCCAGCAGTGCACAGGAAACCACGAGTTCGCTGCCACACTCAACCAGCCGTGCTGAGTGTGCTCACCCTGGTTACTTTCCCAACAGCACATACAGCCCCTCTGCCCTGGACATATCAAACTAGCCATAATCTTTCAGAACGTCGTTCTAGACAAAGGCAGCATTTCCACACTGACATGGACCGTTTTAAATCAATATATTCCGTGAATAGATTGTTAAAAAAAACTGCACAATTCCGTTTTCTGAGCATCCAGCTCCTGTTATTTGTCTGACGCGATACTTATAAGAGACCATCTAAACAGAGCACGTTTATGAGGCAAGGGGAAGTTCGCACCGGGTATTTACAGAAAGCTCATCCCCTGTGGAAGAGAAACTCTAGTAAGACTGCGGGAGGGCTTCAGGACCTACTTCACTGCCGCTAAACACACGCATTCCCGCTCCAGCGTGCACGGAGCTGGCTGCTCGCACAAGCCCGACAAATCTGCATCAAGAAGCAGCTCAAGAGCACCATCCCCTCCGAGCCGCGAAACCGGACAGGAACCCGGTGCTCACCGTCGGATTCCGCCCGGACCAGCAGGGAGACCCCCTTCAGCCTGTCCACATAGGTGGCGGAGACGTGCCCGGTGCCTCTGTCGTCCCACTGTCGGTCTTCATTCAGCGTGTACACCTTCACACGGCGCCGGGTGTCCGACATGATTTCTCCCGCTCTTACCCCCACGCTTTTGAAAAAAAACGAAAACAAATCTATTTCTTTACCCCAGGCTGTAAACTTTCCGTTTCAACCCGCATGTTCAGCGACGCACTGTGCCTAATACGACGAAGAAAACACGGTAAATTTCAACACAGTCTGCTCGGCATGCTAATGAGAAAGCTTTTCTTTACTAAGCCTACGACTACAAAACAGTTAGTTCCCCGTCACCCACATAAAAACAATACGTTTCTCCACCGTTTCTCTCTAGCTCGAACTGCCGTCCGCCATCTTGTAACCTGATCTTGTGTCTTTTTCTTTCCCTACGTCAATCAAAGCGGAGCCGCCCCGGGGTCTTCTCGCAGGGGCTACGGAAGCCGCCAGCGAACAAGCGCCGGAGCGCGAACCTCACAATTTGAAAAGACAGACAGCCCGATGGGCGAGTTTTCTACGGGGCGCCGTTTCTGTCATACCGCGTTTCGCACAGCTCACTTCGCCTTTATTTAAATACTGCGAAGCCTTGCCATTAAAAAGATTCGCCATTTCACTCTTATTAAGTAACACGTGAAGGACCTTTGTTGCATCCAATTTCCAGTAAAATCCATATCTTATACGAGCCCTGACCTTTGTCTCTATGAAAACGAATTTATTTGTCCTGACAAAAAGGTATATCATATTAAATTGTTTTTGAAAGCACATACTTCCTCAATCAAGTCTTCTAAAGGAAGTGTCTGGTCTGAAGCCGTCTGGACTCACTGTAGAACGTCTACAGAAAGAGGCTTGTCATTGGATATTTAGTACGGATTTAATGTCTGAAAACCAAACTGTATGGACCAGGATAGGCATATTCTACAGGCATATCTGAACTAGGGAATGAGACCATTTTCAAAACTAAAAGATTTTTTAAATACATTAACCAGTTCTTAGTGATGCTTTGCAATACATGGACTCAGTTAGAAGTACACTTAAAATATAATAAAATAATAATAGTTTTTATTACTATTAGATTTTATTAATTTTTCACAGTGCGCACAGTACACTCATCATACACCATCTCTCAGTGAGGAAGAGAACAGAGTGATGAAGCCAGTTCAGAGATTATTAGGAGTCCATGACTGGCAAGGGCCAGGGGGAAATTTGGCCAGGACATGGGGGTTACACCTCTACTCTTTTTGAGGAATGCCCTGGGATTTTTAATAACCACAGTCAGGACCTCTGTTGTTTAAGCTTATTTTATGACAAATTTTAAAACACAAAAGAATGGCTCCATATATAGTAGAATACATGGCTTAAAAGCAAGCAAATCAACTTGAGATATATATGTCAAAAATGTAATATGCTTATAACTCATTAACGTAGAAATCTGCCCTGTCTATCCACAGACATGAGAATAAATTGATCAAATCAGGAAGAATTATTGGGGTCACACATAATTGGCTTATGTTTACTTATAAGCATGTACAGTAAATCTCAAGAAATTGCAGTTTCCAAATATTCCAAAGCTCATGTTAAAAAGTTAAAAACATGCAAACATTTACAGTTGAGTTTTTGGTCCATCTGACTTATCTGTCTGATAAGTTAAATCATTACTCCCATGATTTTATCCACCCAGTTGAGTTTCAACAACACGGCTGGGCAGCTTGTTCTACACCCTCACAGCACTGTGCACTGCCCCCTGATCTGACAGATTTGCAAGTCACACGGCTTCACAAGAGCAACAGCTGGCCAACGTGTTATCACACCTGCTGGCAGAGAGAGGTCACCAGTGAACTGCATGATGGGAAGGGAGCGCAGCACAGAGCACGATGGCCCTCTAGGACTAGGAAGTGGGCGTTCCTTTCTGGAGGATGAGAAGACCCCTGCCTACTGCATGATAAACAGCTTCAAATCCAGCACAGAGAAAATAAGAAGCCAAACTGAAAATAAAGGCCCAGGTCCTGCAGATTATTCCGATATAGCTAGAACATTATATGCATCAATGATATTGGGTTGCCATCTTTATAACAATGAACATACTGTGCAACTGGAAGTGTGGTCCTGTTTTATATACTCTAAATCATTAGTAAAAATATTCACTTTTACTATAATTCTTTTCCACTGCTGTTTAAAATGCAGTAAAATCATCACAGCTGATGAACTTGTCTTAAATCATAAAAGTGGTTCTGTAAAGAGCAAAATGCCTTCAGCTGGAAGCATTAAGAAATATAGACACTATAGGCTTAGATGAGGAAGCAACTAAAAAACTCTTAGTGCACAAATGTGTTTCATTCTTAAGCATGCTGAGGGAGTGTGTGAGTGGGGTGTGGCTCTGAAGCTCTGCTGTCAAACTAAAATTGCATTAATCAAGCACCATAGGAATACATGCTAAAACATCTTGCAGATAACAGTTTGAAACCTTCTTTCTTATATACTGAAAATTGCTTGTTGGAATAATCAAGAATAAATAGAGGTTTCTGTATTTATTATTTTACAAAGCTTTTTTTTTTTAAACAGTCTAAAAATATAAAACAGATACAGGATTTATACGTCATTTAAATTATGTTTCTCTCGCACACACACGGTGGCAGGAAACTCATTCTTTAATGTTGGCTTCTGTGCTTGTCTACAGGCCCATGCAGTCAGTGTCTAGATCTTCTCTGAATTGAAGCACAGCTCTTTTCACAGAAGGAGTGGGCTTGAGTTTGCATGGCATCTGATGCTTCTCATGCCCCACTCTTACACTTTCCTTTAAGAACTGGATTGTTAGAGACAGTGGCTATCATTAAAGCTTCCACTAATTAATTGTCTTTCATAAGTACTGTTTATTATGATACATCTATTCATCAATTTTTCATTCAGGAAAGTTTGTGGAGCACAATTTTGTCCAAGTGAGGAGCAGAATTAAATCAGCTGAGCTGAACAGGGGATGCCAGTACTTGAACCTGCAGCTCAGCTGTAACAGATGCATTAGTGGCCACTGCATTCATGCTGCGGCACTGTCAAGCTTTGGAGAAAAACATCAAAATGCTGCACTTTAGTTCAAATGAGGCTCATCACCATCACTCTAGTTGTGCTCTGGGTGACTTCAGATTCAGCCTCTGCTCCATGAGACTGTTTAGGTTTCTGAAGGAAGATTCCTAAACAAAGGTGGCAGTACCAGAAAAGAGAGGCAATTAAATCAATCTGGGGATACAATGAAATCCGCCTGCCTGGCACTTGGTTTAACAGAGAATTGGGGTAAAGCTGTTAACCTTTCAGTGCACCCCGTGATCATCTTTCAAGAGAGGCGCAGGGCAGAGGCTCCCCAAGTCCTGAAGCCAGACCCATGGACAGCACTGACCCGTCCTGCGGACTCTCACTGAGAAACGCAGCCGGCTCAAGCTCGGCCTAGAGGCAAGCCAGAAGACAACAGCAGAACAGGGCAGCCGGAAATCCACGCTCCCAGCCCCTCGCGCCCCACCCTGCCAGGCGGACAGGAGTCAGGGGTCAGGAGGAGTCCGAGTCCTGGGCGCTGCCCGTTCCCATGGCGATGCTCTGTCTGTCGCTCAAGCTCTTCACAACGGTTGCCATGGGAGACTGAAGGACTTTGCGAGACAGCCTCATGCGCCCGTCCGTGGGGTCTCTCCCGAAGTACTTCACCTGCAGGCAGAAACACAGCCTGTAAGCCCTGCTGAGCAGCAAGGAAGAAAACTACCTGCTTGGCTGAAGACATTTTAAGAAATTGTTCTTATCTATTTACCTTGGAGAATTTTAGCTACTCAAAGAATTCTGAGCTGAAAACAACATTATAAAAAAGATCACCGGCTTTAAAAAGATCTTTTATGGCTAAGTTAACTAGGGAATTAGGAAATAATAATAATAATAATAAAAAAAACACTTAAATCTACAATCCACCGACCTGAATTTGCTGCCCAACCTCAAGTCCCAGAGCGCTGGGGTGCTTAATCTGAAAGACACAGTAGTCTTTTAGTGTTCCTGTCCCATCAGCTGGGCTTGGACTCTTCTACTGTACTACATTATTATCAGAATTAGCAGGCTAGTGAAGATCCTTGAGCTTCGTCTCTCATGTGTAACAGAAGCCAGTTCTGCTGGTGGTGTTCTTGTGTAGTTCATCCTCTGATTTCTTCGCAGCGCTTTGGACAAAAGCATCCACTAATGAGCAAAGTATGACATTATTATTATACAAGAGCTGCTTGCAATGCTGACTGAACAGCCAACACTAACAATCTGAGAAAAACTAACCACTGATCGGAAGAAAAAGACGGGGGTCTTCTTAATTCTTAAGCATGACAGTCAGCTTTCACCAAATAAGACTGAAATGGAATCATGCGCACACAGAGTTCTGACGGAGAACCTTGTTATGAGAACCAAGACAATACAACCCAAGGCTGAAGAAAAACGGGACACACTCACCCTCTTGTGGTCCAGCTGGGAGTTGTGCAGCAGCACAGGGGTCATGTTCGGATACAGCTTGACCATGACTCCAACGTCTCTGTTGTGGAAGCAGAGACAGAGTGGAGATGAGTGGCCCCCACTGGTGACACCAGATCACCACAACTCAGTTATTACGTAGCTAAGAGGAACAAACGAGAGGTTTCTACCTTTTACTGTTAAATGGACAATAACCTAACATTTTCAAAAGAAAAGTAGGAAATCTTTGTGTGCCTTAAAATCTGAAAGTGTCAACACCTTCTCAGCACAGTTCAAAACCACATCCTAAATACTCTACACACAAGAAACCAACATATTCAACATATTGGCCAGTGCCTGATTTTCTGTTTTGCAACAGACATCAGACCCAATACTGATTGAGAATTCACACATATCCCTGGGAAGTGCCAAAAATGAACTGCTGCTACTCCTCCAGCACCAGTCTGTTCTGAACCAGGCTGCTGTCATCTCTCCTCCCAGAATCCTCATCTATCATCCTGCACTCCCTTCAGGAATCTCTTGGGATTGTCTGGACTGCGCCCGAGCTGCACCAGTCCTTACGGCGGCATACTGCAGACGCAGACTCACCGGATCTCGGTGATAGTGGCAGTGTAGATGGCGCCAAACTCCAGCTGCTGCTCTTGCTGAAAAAGAGAGGAGCCAGTGTCACTGGGACAGCACGCCGCGACCTGTCCCACAGGCCCTCTCTAAGGCATGCCTGGCAGGAGGAGCTTCTTACAGACTTTCTTATTTTTCATCTTCTGATAGTGAGAATATCTCTCGCAGGTAGCAGTCTTATTTTCTTTAATAAGTTCTGTTTATTATGCCACATCTATTCACAATTTCTTCATTCGGTAAAGTTTATGGAGCTCACTTTCATCCTAGTAAGCTCAGGCAGGCGATGCCAGTATTTGCACCTGTAGCTCAGTTGTAACAGAAGTGTTAATGCCTCTAACAAATGCCAGCTGCATTCGTACTGCAGCGTTGTAAAGCTTTGGGGAAAGAAATAAAAAAACAATAATGCAGCTCATCAGCGGCACTCTAGTTGTGTACAGATTAAGCTTTGGCTCCACAAAACTACAGTCCTGATCAGTGCAACTCAGACTGTACAACAGTTTACTGGAATGTGTATAGTGGTCTTTAATTTAATTTAATGTTTTAATGTGTTCAATTTTCATTCATCAAATCCATTCTGTCCATCTCAGGACACCTGCATGCATTTTGGAGGGCAATTTAGAGATGGAATAGCTTTTGACCGGGAAGAAACTGGAGCAGCAAGGAGAACATGCAAACTCCACACACACAAGTCCCCTCTCTGGAATCAAACCCTTTCGATCCTCAACGCACAGTTCAAATCCCTAACTGCCACACCACTCTGACACTTCAAATTCATTCAAACCAGACACGTCACACAAGTAAATGTACAACTACTAGTTTCAAGGACTTTGTACAGAATCCCTCTCTCGGGTAACGCGGCAGACAGCTGTACATACGTCATCTTTGCAGATCTCGGTGATGAGCTCCTGGGCTTCGTGCATGGCTGCCGGCGTGGGCGCAAACACGGAGAAGGTCTCCTCGTCCACCTGACTGATGGTCACTCCTGTGCAGCGACAGAGAGGCGCTCTGAGTCCGATGCAGTGTGGGCAGCTCAAGCCCCATGAAAGTGCCGCCCTGCAGGCCTCTGACCTCTCTCGGCTCGCACCGAGCCCTGAGCCCACTCACCGGGAAGATCTCAGGCCCAGAGAGGTGTGTGCAATTCAAAACGAGCTATACTTTTTATATATTCATAAATAACACATGCACGAAAAACCATACTTCACCTTACCTACGGGGCTAAACATGCACACCGCGGAGATTTCTTCTCAAAACTGAATTCAACAGGACAGTGAAAGACCCCTTCTGGGTTTCGAAAGAAAAGAAGAAGCTAAGCAACGGAAACCATCTGAAAACGCCGCCGTGGCCTCACCCGTCTCTGCCTGGAGCCTCCTGAGGTTGTATCCCCCCGGCCCGACAAACCTCACGCGCCGGGACACTGGGACACGGACCGTCTCTGCAAGAGACCAGAGCGACCCGTCAGTTTCGCCCCCTCACAGACACAGAACCGCCAGAACTCAGCACACGGACGAGGCTCCCTACCGACCACCGGCCCGTTCTCCTTCCGGCTCGGCCTGGGCTTCGGGATCGCCTTGTTCATGATGCCCAGTATCTCCCGCTTGGCCACTGGAAAAAACATTCAACACCAGTTTCAGCAAGTCTCTGGCACAAGCAGGACAGCAGCTGCAGGACTGAGCCTAGCTCATAAACACTGAGAAAATACTTTCTGAAGCTCCTTATCCACTGCTGGGATGTGTATTAAATTGATCGGGAGCAATCCTGAGTACCTGTTGCTTGCTGAATGGCTTCCATTACAATTTTCAATGGCAATCCAGGGATTTTAATGTCGGCCTGGAAAAAGAAGGATTGAAAAGAGTTACTTGCTTGTGAATTATTTTTCTGATTTTTAAAGTGACATTTGCTGCAGGGAGTCTCTTCCCCTGGCGTTTGTAACAAGCATGGCTGGTGGAAAAGCAAGAGTTCATAGATGCTTAAGAGGGTCTTCTGTTAATAAAAGCCACTGCTACGTTAAAACACGTGGCTTGGGAGATTCACGACAGACTCAAACTACCTGTAAAGCTGTGATGCCCTTGCTTGTGCCAGCCATTTTGAAGTCCATATCTCCATGGTAATCCTCTATTCCCTGTCGTGACACAAAAAACACATCACAGGGGCACAAATCGAGGTCATGTCCACCCCCCTCATAGAATGCAAGTACCATTACTCAGGTCACAGTTTTCTTGTCTGTACTCATGCCCATTTCCACTTGTGCCTTCTCCTTTAAGTGCAGGTCTTGATTAATGATTAATAAAAAGTTATTCCAGGGAATTAATCTCTCTCTAGAGTGTGTTCTGTCTGTCTCGTAGTCCCAAGCGCCTGAGAATTCCGACCACAGTGTCATCCAGGTGTTCCTGGGAGTCCCGGGTGCTATCCTAGTGCTATTCCAGGGATTTGTGTGCTCCCAGTTTCCTGCAGCTGACTGTTACTACAGGAAGGAGTTGCCCCTCCTTCACTAGCTTTACCATGATGAGACCATGTAACCCTGAAAGAATATTCTTCTTCACAGCCGGTTTCACTTCAACACCCCGTCAGAGCCCGTTTTTTTCTTTTTTCAGGTCAGTATTTATACCGAGACCAGCAAACACGTACCAGAATATCCGTGAGCAGGCGGTAATCCTGAATTTCGGAAGGTTTCTCTGGATTCGGCTTGGAGATCAGGCCAATCGCGACGCCGGCCACGGCAGACGAAACCGGCACTCCTGTCAACGAGCAGAGCACCGCCTCCGTAAAAAGCGGAACACTCCCGCCCTCTCATACCCAGGAGCACATGTCTTTAAAGGCATAAAATAAGGGATTCGGGGAAAGGCAGCTGGTCCTAAGACATGCAGATTGGAAATAGAGCAATCACCTTGTGTAAGTGTAAACCCATCCTGTGGGGATGAAAACTAAACCCGTCTGCCACACAGAACCCACCAGTATTCACCGCTTCTAAGTAGTACCACGTGCTGCTCTAAAGAAAGAAGAATAAACCTTGTGTACCTGCGTCCATTAAAGCCATGCTTCCTCCGCAGGCCGATGCCATCGACGATGATCCTGAGAAGACAGAAAGGCGTTTCAGCTCGCCTCCTTCCATCATGGGTGCAGATGTCATGAGATAATTCCCATTCGGGATCAGACTTAACATGCAGCACGTTCAGGTGTCTGTAAGCATGGTGGGATCAGTGCTAGTTTACATCATAAGCGTCTCGTTCTGATGTGCTCACATGGGTCAATGGTTATGAGACAGTAACTACTGTAAGATATTAACTTAACTCTACACCTGGGTGTACAGTATACCTAAAATACTACCTCCTGAAAACATCAAATGCTACAACAAATCAATGACAAAACAGGTAAATAACTTATCTCACCGTTGGACTCCAACACTTCAGATGTAACCCTTATGGTGAAAGGAAAGTCTTTGGGGATCACGGGCTTCAAAGCCTTCTCAGCTAAGGCCCCTGTGTCAACACAAGCACATCAGAGTGTGGCACCGCCAGACTGTCAGAGAAAAGAACTCCGTTACCCACGAGCCTCTGCTGCCCAGGCTGAGACTCACCGTGGCCCAGCTCTCTCCTGTTCATCCCACCCATCTTCCCGATCTCGTTTGTGGCATAGGGAGGAAACTGAGGAGAGAGAAGCGCTGGTCAGCCCTAGCAGGCCGGGGGTCTTCTGCCCCCTGACCCCCTGTAGCCCTGCCCAGTCTAGTACTGGTGCTTTTAGACAGGCTGTGGTGAAATGTCAGGTCAAATATTAAAATCTCACTAATGTATGCTTACAGGTAGGATATTCAATTACAAGGCTGTAGTTATTACATTTTATCCCAAGTCTTGATAACTTTCTACTGTACTTGTTAGTTAACCCCATAGTAGCTTAAGCTGCCTTGGATGAAGGCATTTACAAAAAGAAAGCTCATAATAAGACGGGGAGGAGCTGGATGAAGTGCACTCTTGTGGACCCATCTTGGAGATGTGCCAGTTCAAGTCTAAACAGGTGTCGTCCACCACATCCACCTCGGGTCACCCCAGATCACTCCAGGTTACCCCTGCCTACCCCGGGCCACCCCAGGGAGAATCTGCTGCTGGAGCCCACAGGTTGCAGCAGGTTCTGAAGTGAGTGAATCTTCAGAAAACATAACTGACCTCATAGTGCAGCATGAAGTTCTTGTCTTTGACTCCACTGTTGAAAGCACAGAAAACAGTGAAAATGAATGAAAGCATTTTACAAAAGCCAAAGTCACAGGTCAGGCTGTCAGCTTTCAATTGTGGCATTTTCTTTTCTAAAGCAATACGTCTTTAGATGTGTCTGACAAAACCTTTGAAATTAAGTTCACTCCCCAGCTCCCTGCTCTACCAGTCTGACAGGTGCATGGCCAGACAGAATATTCTTATTTTCTATAATGATGTTCAGACACTTCTTCCCCCTGTGGGGTTTGTCTTTCGATGAAGAGAAATACACCTGCTTCATCGCCGTCATCGTCAGGTTTCCACCTCTTGAGAAGAGGTCTTCTTTGACAAAGCTGTGTATGTTAAAGGTCGGCACGAGGCTGAAATCCTCAGCATGCTGGAAGCTCTTAGAAAAGTCAGTAGAATGAGCAGAGTTGTTAAGTGTCCTGGCTTAAACCAGATCATTCCAGGTTTCACCTCCTGGATTATATCTGACCATCAAACTCTGAAATGCATGCATGTTCAATTTCTGGAGACAACACCTCTGATTAATCAAAATGTATATTTGTATTTTCTCCGACATAAATAAAAAATACAGCGTGTTCAACTTCTCTGCAGTGTACAGTGTTTTAAAATGAACCGTTCATCTTCTCTTACCTCATAGCTGAAGTGATCAGGTCAGTTTTTATACTGGATTCCAAGGAGTCAAAGGTTACTGTGCACAGCACCTGCAGGACACATAGGCAGGAAGAGAGTTTTATCAGATGACAAAGGACCTGTAAGTCTACTTGGTTGACCAACGCCGGCTGTGAAGTGAGAAAAGACAATCCAAAGTGGACAGATGCACTGAAACAGACGGAAAGAGAGGGTATATTTCAGGTCGAATACAGAGACACAGGCGGCCTTTCTTTGCTAGTTTCTGGAGCCGGAGCCCCACCTGGGTCTGTCCCCTCTGAAACAGAGCCGAGCCGTGCAGGGGCCTGAAGATGTCCACCTCGCAGGAGATGCTCCTCAGAGAGGTCAGGTCGCGGCCGTCACACCTGAGGCAGGAGAACAGGTGTGGAGTGAGGGGAGCTGCTGAGCGAGGCAGGCTTGCGAGGGCAGGAGTCTCCAGCAGTACTCCCGAGCCCCAAAGTCGACCAGCCCGACTAGCGCACCAGTACTAACTTTAAACTGAAGCAAAGGGAACTCTGCTCACACCTGGAAACTGCATGAGCAGACTGTCATATTCTGTTCATGGCTACACTGCAAACTTGTAAACACTCACACAAAGTAATGTCAACCCCTGATCCATACAGGCAGTGCAGTATCTTAAAGAAGACGCTGTCTTTTAGAGAGCTGTGACCATGAACTTACCTCCTGTATTCGTTCATGACCAGGTTTCGGAATGTCTCCTTGGACACAGTGTTAAAGGCTTCAATGACCTCATAGGGATCAGCTTCAGGATACTTTTCTGCAGAATTGTTTAGAGCAGTTGAAAAACAAAACCAGCACTTTTAGCAAATATGGAAAACAAATCATGGTGGCACAATATTGGGCAGATGGACTCGAAACAAAGAGCAAAGTCTATCTGTGGGAAATTAGAAATAAAGGAAAACAGCACTTCAGGGAGCCCCACTGCTTAATCCCTGAATCTGAAGGCTGTGAAGGTCTGAAGATGCAATAAAGAAACTACTGTCTGTGTAATTTCCCTCTCCTTTCTCAGTCTCACCTTTTACCAGCTCCTCCGTGTCAAGACGGACCTTCTTGATGGCCTCATCTCTTGAAACCTGCCAGTCAGATATGTGTTTGATTGGGGTGCTGTACCCAGGATCAAAATAAACCAAAGAAAGAAACCTAAGAGGTTTTGAAAAACAATTTTACTTACTTTGTCATGGGAGAAATCTGTGAAAACAGCATAGAGTTTGTCTGCAGCCAGCCTGTGAGCAGACAAGAGACAGTTCAGCTTCTCACACATTCAAATTCATTTCCGAACCTTTAGGAACAGTCATGACCAAGATTCTTAGTCAAGATTCTTTGTCACTGTTATAAAATCCTCCCAAGACAACAACCAGGATCTTTCTATTAATCTAGGTTTTTATGAGCAAAAATCTCTCTTCCATTTTAACACATTTGCTTGTTACTAAATAACCCCAAGTGCTTAGCATTTTGCAAAACCGAACACAGAGAGATCTCTAATGGAAACTGGAACATTAAAATGTTTTTTTGTGGCAGGCGAGGTACAGACCCCCTAATGTTAAAACACCGAAAGGACATTTCATTTAGGAGGCGGATTCCCATAACTCCTACGTCAGGTTGCTTTTCTAATTTCTTTGGCCAAAAGCTTCAGACATTTGCCCCCGGTTATACAGCAGGGTATTTCACAGGGCATATCTGTGTGAAGGACCTGGCTCCATGACGGCAGCCATGTGCCAACTGGGATTCGAACCCTATTCCCCGCGCCCTGCCCGCTGCTCCAGCCTGCTGCTTGCATCCGCCGAGCCGCCCCCGGGCCTCACTCACTGCCGCGTCTGCTCCACCATCTCGGGCACGGCGACGAAGAGCTTCTGCGGCGTCCGCTTGGTCACCTTCTGCTCCCTGGCCAGCTGCTGGATGGCCAGGATGATCTGCTGCGCGTGCTTCACACCCAGCTTGACGGCATGACAGAAGTCCTGCTGCAGCACGTTCTCGGCTGAGGCCTCCATCATGACTGGGGAAAGACAGACTCCCCTCAGACGGGTCAGCCGGAAAGCAGCGATGGGGGGGCAGGAAAGGCACGAGAGGGGAAGGACAGACCGCGCCCTTCCCAATACCCTCTCCTGACGCGGGCATTGCAGCAGCCAGACAAGAGGGTGTACAAAAACTGGTGATGCAAGAAAGGCAATTTCCAGAGAACACCCTTGGATCAAAACTGGTAAAGGGAGGAGAAACACTGGAGGCAGTAAAACAAAGAATGAAAGCTGGATGGAACAAGTGGAGAGAAATAACTGGAATAATCTGTGACAGGAAAATTCCTAGAAAGTTAAAGTGCAAAATGTACAAGACTGTGATTAGACCTGTAC